CTTTCTGAGACAGAACCTACAATCGTTGATACCCTGGGAATTATACTGTAAGATTGACATCTCATGTCCGTATATCCTAGTTAGGTTTTGGAACTTATGGGTTTTTTTTCCAGTCTATTATTATTTATTAGTTTATCGATATAAAATAAATTCCTATTTAGTCTATATATTTATGTATTTGAAGATTTTATATTCTTCTGTAAATGGGTAAGGCTAGACTCATAAAGATCAGACTTATAAAGCGTATTTCAAAAGTCCACGTTGCTCTGTTGTTCAAAGACTCACCCTTGTAGCTGACAGATGTGTTACAGTTGTGACACTGACTCCCAAGAATATTGTGAGGTCGAAAATCAGCTCCTATATCAGTACTCCTCTGCAGGTCTTTGACTATTCCATAATACATATATTACATTGTTTTTAATTAGATTCCGTGATATTCTTGTTACCGTTACATAAAGTACATTTGTAAATGTTTTATATTCTGAACATGTTCCTTTTGTTTTAATATACCTTTTTATTATGTCTCATTTATTTCAAAGGGGTTACAAATAGAACGAGGCTTATCTTCAATATGTGCAATGCATACTTCATAATGAAAAAGTAACATGAAGTAATGTTGTAGATATAAATTATCAGTGTTGCCAATCTAAATAATGAAAGTGCGTGGGGTCAAATCGCTTATTTTTTATGATTAAAACTAATATCATTAGGAAAGAAATTAAAAATAGTTAACTCATTTTTCTAACCTATTGATTTTTTTTTCTAGGTTATTGAATTATTTTTTTAGCCACTATCACCAAATTATTTTCCGGCTATGTTATAGTTTGTGTCAATAGGTAATTTAAATAAAATTATTAAATGTTGTTTTACAAAAAAGTTATGATAAGAGTCAAAACAAGCATCAGAATGATTCAGTAACAAGTCAGTATTTTACGAAGTCAGACACAAACAAGACTATATTATTGTCTAAAAATGAGAAAATGTCACGTAATATCGTTTCTAATATAACCGATTCCATGTTTAGCTATCATTAAAATAACTATCAATCAAGTAGCATGTAGCGTATTGCAGTTAGAACCTTCTCAAACCGATAATTTTCAAAAGATGTCAGCAGTTAGAACTGTCACGTTGCTAGTTTCCTTTTTGGCCGATGGCACTAAAATTCGTTTGGAACTCGGATAACATTGTTGTTAGTGATTTCTGAGTGATAACTCAATTTTCCCAAATTTGTTAGTTAGAACCTTTTCAAACCAAGGCTAAAAAATTGTCGATTCCTTAATAAATTCATTTAAGTTATACATAATGTTGAACAAACTTCGCTCGGAAGGCAAGCTCCTGGTGAGCATCCTGGGTGAGGCCGCAAGCCGGTACAAGGCAGCTATGCAAATAAGGCCGGTCCCCTCCTAGCCTTGCATCCAAACTTTTGCTTCTTTTCTAGGGAGCTTTAGGATGCTAACCAGGCCGCTTCTGGAATTGAATCTACCGCCTCGTTAGCTCTCCTTTATCCATTGTTCCCAAATCCAAACTCATTCATTAATGTTTTTGCCACAGTATCGGACATGGTTTATTGTTTTCTTTTCGAAACGGATGAGGCAGAATATTGGAAGTACATTTTTACTTACACCAAGTAAGCTTGATTTAAAGGTGTAATATTACGAGATATAATTAATGATATCTAACAGGTTAAACTTGAAGAGCAGAATTTACAAAAGTATTTTCCTTTCTACGGTTCATTATGCAAGCGAAACGTGGCCGCTTATATTAAGCGATGAGAAACGTCTTAAGGTTTTTGAAAATAAAGTATTGCGCTGAATATTCTGACCGAAAAAAAGGATGAGCTAACCGGAGAACTTAAGCGGTTGCGCAACGCTGAATTACGCGAACTGTACTCGATTAATATAATTGAGATGGTCAAGTTGAGTCGAATAAAATGGACACGTAAAATCGCTAGGCTTAGTAATGAAAGAATTCCTAAACAATTAATATGCGCCATGCCAACTGGCAAGCGTCCGAGGGATAGGCCGAAGCGAAGATGGGAAGATTGCGTTAAGTCTGACCTGATGGGGTTGGATTGAGACAGTGCACAGTGGTTAAAAATCGTTTTTGTTTTTTTCGGGAAAAACCTTGGCAATCGTGCTCTATTAGTCACAGAAAACAAATGTTGATACTATCATAATCACAACCACATTTTCTATAAAATATCTACAGAAGAACCTCGTTTAATCTGCTATCCGGTTATCCAGGGGAATAGAAGAGATGAATAATTTTTTTTTTTTTTAAATAAGATAGCTTAAATTAAACTAAATTATTAAAATAAATGAGTCTTGACCTCTGAACTTATATTAAGAGAATTAATAGGGTAACAAGTAGTAAACATTTTTCTATATTATGAAAGAAGAGAGATTATGTATTTTACGTTCTTCAATAGCCTATACAGCACTTTTATTGTAATGGATGGAAACACTTAGGATAGGTCAATCAAAAAATATTTAATTTCATTTTAGCCAGTCCTGTCTGGATTCTGACTAGGACAGATAAGCGAGGTAGTGTTGTGGTTTAAAAAGTTTTTTACAGTTAAATTAAGTAGTATCTCAATTTATGAGATGTCTGTTCTTTAAAAAAATAAATAAATTGTTTATCAATTTTATAATATAAATAAGATCAACAGCATGATTTTTCGAGGAGATGGGAAGTTAGGAAATTTTATTCCCTGCTACCAAATATCAAAAACTCTTTCCATGAAATTACTTTATAACAACTAATTATTTTTCAAATTAGAATTAATTAAATATTTACTAACTTACATACTACATCATATGAATACGACGGTGCTCATCATTTTTATCAAAATAAATAGAATCTGAAGAATTTTTTTTTTCTAATTTTAATTTTTGTTTTATTTATGTATTTTTAAAAAATACGATACAATTTTGGTATTTAATGCAATAAATAAAACCTAACCAATTATTTTTTCAAAATAACAATTAATTGATATGTTTAGGGCTCAATGACTAATTTAAAATGTAACGGAAAGATACATTAATTTATATGATATAACAATATAACAATGTTTATTTTAGGGCCATTTTTTTTTTCATTCCAAATAGACGCTCGTTCAAAAATAAACTAATAAGTTTACGACATTAAATTACAGACGCTGGTGGACGCAGCTGGAATCTGTTTTAATATTTTTTAAGGAATATAGTCTTAATAAACAAATATATGTCAGACCTGCTGTCGGCTGCCATGAAAATGTATGGACAATCACAATATATTTTTTTTCTATTTATTCTAGTACTTTTTCAAAACAATATTAGTAAGAATAAACGTGTTTTTTTTTCCTCAGTGTATCATTTATTTCGAATAGCTGTTCATAATTATAAAAATAAATCGTACTTAACATTCAAATATATATATTTGTTTTGTTTTCATATCCCCTTTCTACTTATTCTTGTCTTTAATCCTTGGATTGTCTTAATAATACTCCTTTTACTGCTTAAAAGCATTGTAAGGTTTATTTTTAGATTTTTGTCGTTTCTAAGTATTTCGTTCTTCATCTGTAATATAAAGGTGATGGGGCTCACCTCAGGCTTGAGTTGACCTTATCCTATAGAGCTTACAACTAAATTAATAAAACATCGATCTCATGTGATTTGTTTCCAACGTTTTGGAATTTTGGCTGGTAACAAATTGTTAAAAAGAGGGTTTGCCAATTGGGATTTTTCGAAAAATGATTTTTTTCGTTTTGCGAAAAATTCTTTTATTGTTGATAAGTTTACTGTTGCTTGTATATCCACTGTCTTCTTTCTCTGCAGCGTGGTTCCTCTTACAATTTGTCTAATCATTCCATTTTGGAAATATTGTAATCTTTTCCCTTTGTTTTGCTCATATGTTCGAACAGAGGTGCACCATACAACAGAGCCGGCCGTATTATACTTGTATAGACTAGAAGCTTTAGGCGTAAAGATAGGTTTGTTGTCCGAATTAAATTTTGGAGTCTGTATGTCTTAGATCTTACTGTTTTAATTTTTTTGTCAAAATGTCTAGTAAATTTTAAATGTCTGTCAAAGTGAATACCGAGATGTGTTAAGTTAGTGGATAATTTAATACCGGTGTTGTTAATTTTGAATTCATTTGGCATTTCCTTTTTTCCTTTTTGGTATGAAAATATAATTCCTTTCGTATTTTCCGGATTGACATCTATGTTCAGGATTTTTAGCTGTTCTGCAATTTTTTCACAAGCTATTTTCGCCTGCTGCATAGCTTTTTTGGCATTCATACTGCTACCTGAGACAGCTATGTCATCAGCAAATGCTGTCTCAGAAGCATTTTGGTGTTTAGTTCCCGCAGTGTATAATAGGAAAAGAACGGGAGATTCAAAATGTGACGGTTCAAAACGGGTGGTTCAAAATGTGAATGGAAAAATAATGATAATGTCGAACAATTTCTATTGTATGAGGAGTTGATCGGGTGGGGCGCTCAAATAAATACTAAATATTTAAAAAATAGTATTTTTAATTGTTATGTCCCACCTTGCCGGTCTTCATCAGGGCAACGGAAGATACAAAACATAAAAGGTACATGATGAAAATAAAAAAAATGAATTATAAGTAGATATTAAATATGAAACAGTTGTCTGATAAAGATTTGTTGTAATTCAAACATTATTCCATGGTCGGATTCAGAAGGCTCGTATATTGTTAAAAATCAATATTTTACTGATTGAATTAGTGAAATATATTGAGCAACTGATCTATTTTTGATTGACGAAAAGAAAATATTTTTTAAATAACTTCAAACAGTAGGTTTTTTTTCTGTTTTTCAATCACTGTGCGCCCGGTGGTTGGAAGAATGTAAACATCGATTGGTGGTATCGGCATCGAACCTTCAGATTCGCTAAGCCTTATTATTATGATTTAACAGGATAAGTAAAAATTAGTTTCAATTATTTTAATTACATTAATTCTGCCTCGTACATAAAAACAATAAGTTTATCAGTGCCCAAAAATATTTTAATTTATCAAATAACAAACACACATATACTGTTCTCACTAGTTTTTTACTAAAAGTAGGTTTTCATCGCACGGGTTGTGATCTTCTCATTTTCTGCTGCCTCGCTTTTTGTAATATCTTTTCTTTTGTTTCTTCCTGTTTTGGATCTTGTTCCATATTTGAGGTTCCTAATATTGATAGTATCGACATTTCAGGTCTCTGAGGTCGGAGCACTGTTATGTCACTCACCTAAATAAAAAGTAAACAAATAAAACGGATTGTATTATTTATACTTTTTAGTATCTAAAAGGAGCGGGTTAGTCACTGCTATGCACCATTCCCCGAGTTCAAGTCCGTCTAAGGTAGATAATTATTTGTTCTGTTGCATCACCCAGGAGTTGAACTCGGAATCTGATCCTCCTGCGGCACACCCAGCCTCTGTTATATGGACAATCTTAATAAAATAGTTAATTTGGGGGAGCGTGATCTCGACCCAACTATCTCTGCGTCGTTGTAGTTGGCAAAAATGTAATATAAGTAAACAAATAACCGTTGGCACTGAAACAGCACTTCCTTATAAAGTACCTTACCGAGACCCTACATGAGTTGTAGTGGAACAGTATTTTTCTTGGGCTAAGTTTGTGCCAGGGGGTAATTTGGCCATCAATTTTTTTTTTTTTTTTTTTTTTTGATCCACTTAATAAGTTTTTACATCGATAAATTCGCAAATATATACTTAAACAACGTTAATTCCTTCAAAAGTGTGCTTAGTAACCTTTTTGTAAAAACCGGCGTCGTATACTTCATTTCTAATAGACTGCATTTTAGGAAAACAAAAAATGTAAATCATCACTTACCCCTTTCGAAGCTCTTTCCTTCGCCTTCTTTATGAGGCTTGAGTTTACTGAATATCCAGAAGTAGTTTGTATAATTTTTATTTTGTCATCTTGTTTATATCTGCGTACCGTAAAAATTTTAGTATTAATGGGACTTTAGGAGCATTAGAATATACAAAATTGTTTGATGTAGAATATAAAATTTTATTCTTTATTACAAACATTTTTATCATATAACTTTTAAAAAATTTTCATTAGGATAAAGGAACCCAGTATTTGACAGTCTTAAAAGAAAAAAAAATCTATTTATTTTTTTAAGTTGTTCTACTTATATTAATTTCTGGTAAAATTAAGATATAATATTTAAATCTTAAATTTAGAAAATAATATTTGGTTTATATTATTTTTAATACCAGTAATTGACACCATCAAATATTTGAAGGCTACTTTACCAGAGTTTGTAATTAAACTAAACATTATATTCGCACACCTATTTAATTAAGAAAACTGTTGTTAAAAATCGAATCACCCCACTTTTTAACAACAACAAAATTGGGATGATTCTATATTATTTCATGTTTCTCATTATAATATTCATTGTTTCCCCGCTAGATTCGCTATCCGCCACACGGTGCGCTGGTTTGTTCCAAGAGCTTCATTTACTGAACTTAGCCAGGTTTAACTCACGTAAACCCTAAATATTAAGTTGGAACATCTTCCGTGCTGCTTTCCTACGGAATCCATTCTTTTTATTCTTCCTTTTTCCTCTTACTTCAATTTTCTCTCCTTTTAGATAGATAGATAGATAGATAGAACAATAATTTTATTCTGGGACACAGTCCCTTGAGAATAACAAAACAGAACAAAATTAAAAGATCACATCTGGCCAAAATAAAATCAATCGAAAAAAAGAAATAATGTAAAAAAAATATAAGGTAAACATTCTATATAAAAAAAAACGAAACTATATACAAAACAATTATTACTATGACAAGGCACTTAAAGCTATTTGCACTAGTATACACTTTTAAGAAAATAATAAAAAATTAAAAAATAAAAATGTATCAATGAATCAATCAATGAATTTGTATGTATCGAATTCTCTATTAAAATCAGCTCGAATGGTTAGCAACTATCTCACTGTTCTTGGGATAGGAATTGGAATAGGAGGATTTTGAATTTGGATATGGATGGGGAATGTCGAATTTTGATAGGGAGGGAATTCCAGAAATTGACAGAGCGAACAACAAAGGAATTTTGGAATGAGGCAGATCTGTGAGAAGGCATGTAAAGATTAGAAGGTCGAGATCTTGTGGACAGGGAATGGACTGAGGATTTGAACTGGAGAAGATTGTAGGCGTAAGAAGGACGATGACTGTTGATGATTTGGTAGAGGAACGTACCTAGGAAATATTGTCTTCGGAAGGAGGGGAAAAGCCACTTTAACTCAGCATAGTGGTGAGAAACATGGGAGTATCTTGGGGCCCCGATCACAAATCTTACACAGCTGTTCATTAGTCTTTTCAGTCTATCACGGAGCTCCACAGAGAGGCCATCATACACCACACAGCTATAGTCAAAGTGGGGGAAAATGAGAGAGGAAACTAGGAGTCTACGCGTATGTTGAGGTAGGAGATGGCGGAAGCGATGGAATAGTTTGAGGGTGGAAATTGTCCGTCGAGAGATATGAGAAATATGGTGATTCCAAAGGAGGTTTTGATCAATGAAAAATCCTAAGTTTTTAACAGAGGAGTAGAAGGAGATTGGCTGGTCATTAAGGTGAAGGATGGGAAAGTCTGGATGGGATCTAAGAAGGGGCTTGGAAGCAATGACAATGGCCTGAGTTTTGGCGGCATTTAACCTTAATCCATTTACATTTGCCCAGGCACTGATTCGATCTAGGTCTTCTTGGATCTTGGCAAATGCCCCCAGTAACTCAGGAGGGGAAAATGATAGGTAGATCTGTGAATCGTCTGCATAAAGGTGATGGGAACAATGGAGAATTGATTTAGGTAGGTCGTTAATGTAGGAGCTGAAAAGGAGAGGAGATATGCTTGAACCCTGGGCAACTCCAGAGGATAAAGAAAGGAAGGCAGATAGTGGTTGGTTGGGTATGGAGACTGCTTGGGTACGTTGTGAGAGGAAAGATTGAAACCAAGAGATGGAACTATTGGAGAAGGATAATAATTTCAGTTTGTTGAAAAGGATGGAATGGTTAATGGAATCGAAGGCTTTGGAGAAGTCGAGAAGGATAAGGATGGTTAACTTTTTATCATCTATTGCAGTTTGAATGTCGTTGGTGATTTTAATTAAGGCGGATTGTGTGGAGTAGCTGGGACGGAAACCAGATTGGAGAGGATCAAGTTGGTTGGACTTTTCAAGGAAGTTGGAGACTTGGGATTGCACCAATCTTTCTAGGGGTTTCGAGAGGTTGGAAAGAATTGAGATTGGGCGGAAATCTTCGGGTGAGGTCGGATTAGAATTTCTATTTAAAGGAAGGACAATGGCTTGTTTCCAAGATGTAGGGAATACTGAATTCTGAAGGGAGAAATTGTAGATGAAAAGAAGGACTGGGAGGATTTCAGGAAGACATAATTTTATTAGTTTGACAGGGACGCCGTCAGGTCCTATGGAATTGGTGTGGGATTTCATTACAGCGGTTAAAAGGTCTGTAGGGGAAATGTCGGAAAAATAAAAGTTATTGTCGTTAAATGGTATCTCTATTGGGAAGTCGGAACAGGAGGATAAAGGAGAGGTATTAGCAACAGATATAAAATGCGAGTTTAGATCATCAGGGGATATTGGAAAGGCTGGAGTAGGGGATCGGGAAGGATCACAAAGGGAGAGTTTACGAAGCAGTCGCCATTTTGATTTTATGTCAGGAGTTGAGGAAAGGGCTTCGTGGAAGTAGAGGGACTTCGCACGCCGGATCCTTGTTTGTGTCAAGTTGCGAAGCACCCTGAACGCTTGGTAGTCATCTGCAAGCCTAGTACGTCTGAAGCGTCTACGAGCAGCGTCGCGCCTCTTCTGCAGGTCTTTAATTTCCTGACACATCCAAGGAGCAGGCCGGTGACGAAATGTAGAGGTTTTGAGAGGGGCATGGGTATTGAGGATATTGAGGAGATTGGTAGTAAGAATATCGACCATAGAGTCGATAGAAGTGCAAGAATATATTTTATTCCAATCTAGGATTTCCAGGTCAGGTAATATTTGTTCTCGTGTAAGGGAATCTAGATGGCGGAAGGTGATAGTTCGAGGCTGAATAGGAGGAGTTTGGATATTATATGTTATTTGTATCAGATCGTGAGATGACAAAAAGGATACTGGCAGTTGTGAAGAGGAGAGGAGGTTTTGTGCAGAGTCTATAATATAGAAATCTATCCAAGTGTCGGACCTGCTAGTATGGTGAGTGGGAGAAAAAGGAACGATAAAGAGGTGAAGGGAGAAGAATAGGTCTTCTAGATAGGATTTGTCATTGGAGTTAAATAGGAAATTGGTATTGAGGTCACCTGAGATGATTATTCTGGGATAGAGGGGAACGAAATTCAATAGGGTAGATTCAAAGGACGTGTGAAATGGAACAAGAGGAGGACGGTATACCACAGCGTAGAGGAGAGGAGAAGTATTACAAAGGATTTCAACTAATAGGTATTCAATTTGTGGGTGGTTGGAAGATGGGGATAAATCGAGTATTCGGGTCTTCAGGCTATTGTGGACATATATGGCTACTCCACCGCCAGTCCGGCTTACCCGGTCATGACGGAAGAGGTTGTAATTAGGCAGGGAGACAGAAGAGGATGGGATATAAGGTTTGAGCCAAGTTTCGGAGATAGCTATAATATGGTAAAAATTTTGAGTGAAATATTGCAGGAATTCGTCATAGTGCGCGGGGAGGGATTGAGAGTTAACATGGCAGGTGATTAGGGTACTAGACATGAGAAGTATTTGGAAGGAGACAGTCAGAGTTCAGTAGAGAAACACTAAAACAAATAAAAAATACAGAAAAGCTATTACAATTAATGAAAATGAGAAAAAAGAAAGTGTTTAAAGAAACAAAAAATAGAAAGCATATAGTAAATAATACATAGGCTAATATGTAGAAGTGAAGAAATACAACTAAAAGCGAAAATCTTTCTTCGAAGGGAATTTTGTCAGTAGTTATTTTGATAAGGATGGAGGGTAGACGAATTCTGTGTAGTCAGGTAAATATATCGAGGTCCGAGGCCTGTTCGATCATGATAACCTTATGCCCGTCCTCTTTTCGACATCGCACCTTTCCAGCGGCAAACCAGCAATATTTGATTTTCCCCGCTGCTTTCTTCTGTCGGGCAAGCCAGTATAAGTGCCTGTTCGTGTGAGTCATCTCCTCTCCCAGATATATCCGGTGGCAGTCATTCTCCTGCCAACCGATATCCCGCGTGGAGAAATCCCTCTTAACTTTTCTTTTCGATATTAAATCGTCTCTGACTGATTGCCTGACAAATCGCACGATGACAGACGGCGGTCGCGGGTCATCTTTCCTGCTTCTGCGGCGATGCACCACATCCAGATCTTCTGCACTAAGCTTGACTCCCAGGCTGGCTCCTACACTGGTCACCAGACCGGCGGGCGTTTCACCAGCTCGCTCCGGTATCCCTCGGATCTCCAGTGATCTGGATAACAGGCCCTGCTCTGCATTATTCAGGCGAACTTCTAGTTCGCCCACTCGGGATTTGAGGGCTTTATTTTCCAGAATAATTTCTTCGAATTTACTGGCTTGACTTTCGAGGTGTTTTTCAATTTTCGCTAATCTTTCATTTACCTCAAAACTGAGCTCCCCATATTTATCGAGGGCTGTTTTAATGTTTTTTACGTCTTCGTTCACGCTTGAATCTAGACGATTTACTGCCGCCAGTATTTCTGAGGCAGACGGCTCAGTGTTGGTTTTTTTGGCCTGGTCGCAATTAGGGCATACCCATGTTTTTTTGTGTGCTTTTAGTGCTTCGATGTCTTTATCAGATAAGTTGAAACACCTACTATGGTAAATAATTTTACATTTTGCACAATTAATATTGTTTTTGTCCTCGCGTGCAATAGTATTATTGCAAATATTACACTGCACCATATTTTATGAGAAGTAAATTAATTAAAATATAAATAAATACCGGTAGACAGTTGTTGATGTGATGAAAGCAGTAAACAGCGTGCTTAATGCCGTGAGGATTAGTAAGAGATTACAGTCCCGCACTTCTAGGAAATCAGTTAGAGTTATGCACTTTTTTACGTAAATATACGTCACTTGAATCAGTGAACACTAATAAAGTTCTAGAATAAAAGAGAAAAAAAACGAAAAGAAAAAAAATCTGAACTCAACATAAACTGTAGTGTAGACTAAAATAAAGAAAAACTGTGTAGATATTTAGAGAGAGAATTATAGCGATGTTCATTGGTAGCTGTCTCTGGCCAGACTGTTGTTCTGTTTATATTTTTGTAATTACCGCTGGTGACAAAGTCTTTCCGTCATTTAAATATCACCACGAAGAAAAAGTTTTTCGTTTTATTTATTTTTTGTTAATGTGTTGCCGGTCAAAATAATGCCTTCCTAAAATGGCTCGGAACGTTAAGAATATCTGTTGTTTGAGTTTCAACTTTTTTAACAGAATATATGAAAATATCAACAGGTGTTGTCAAACAGTAGGTCTCGACCTAGTTTTTGCGTAAACATGGTATGCATCAGTTATAAAAAATGTATTATCTAATTCAATTTATGCTTGCTGACATAATTATTAAGCAACATAAATATACAAATAAGTATAAAAACAACTCTGGATAGAAAAAATGAGGCTGTCAAACACCTGTATCATTTCTCTACTCTTTTTTTATAATTTATTCAATACCGAAGTGTGTTATTATTACTTAATGTAATAATTTTTAAATAATTGATTTTATAATTACAAAAGCAGTTTAAAAAAAAAATCAGTAACCTAAGCAGCTAACACTGCTTACAAAGGATAGACTATGCTAAATTGACAGGCAGGTAACAATTAATATGAGTTATTAAATAATTTAATAACCTTATATTAAATTTAATATAACTTTATATTAATTAAATAAATAAAACCTACCTTGGATCAGTTTTTATCCAGTCACAATTCAAAAAATCTGCTGCGCTATATCTGCTTCTTACATCTGGTTCTAGCAATTTATTAAAAGCTAGTTTCAGGTCAGGTGACATTTGCTCCTCGACTTTTGGGTTATGGCTTAGAGATCTTGCTAACTGGTGGTGCTCAAAATTTTTATTTTATAAATATGACTGTTTACATTATTTATAATATAACAATTAATTGTATATTAACCTGATTTTCTAAAACTTTCTTCGGTGATGATTCCGGATATGGCAGCTTTCTGTTAAGCATTACAAAGAGAACAACTCCAACAGACCATACATCTGACTTCTTTGGCTGATAGGGCCTGCCTTTAAGAACTTCAGGAGCAGTGTATGCTATCGAGCCACAATAGGTGGAGCTGTAACCTTCAGAGTGGGTTTATTTATAGTAGTTCTTAAATTATTGCTTATTACACTTATCCTGTTTAAAATAATAATAATAAGTTTTTTCCATGAAAATTTGATTTTTTTTTTTTTTTTATCTAGCCATGTGCATTGTAAAGTCGAAAACAAATTGAAACGATAGCTAAAATGATAGTTTATCAGACTCCGTCCTTTTTTTCCTGATAACATTTTAATCAATTAATAAAATTTCTATGACTGTTTTTTATTCGTACTTTAACTTAATCCTCTCACAAACGAGTTTCGGAACGGCAAAGAATCTAGATGAAGAAGTTGAAATAATATTGTTAAAACAGTAAAGGCTCGTGCACACAGAACGCGATATGTATCGGCTAAGCTTTTTAACTGAGAACTTCAATAGGCGCGTTTTGCACTTTTTTGTGGAGAGTGAATTAGATTGAGTCGTCAGATCTCTGTTGTGCAACACTCGGGTAAAATCAGCTGTCGTCGATTAATTGAAATGTTTTTTAATTAGGATAAAGAAATTTCTCAAAAACTCAAAATCGGACCTGCATATTGTTAGCGAGAGAAATTTTATCATTTCACTCTATTTGTAATAACTCTTTGACGAAAAGGGAAAAATAGTGTCGAATACCAAATTATGATTTTTATTGAAGATATGCATTAAAATACAACATTTCAAAAACTAAAAATCGGATCTGCGTTCTATAGAAGAGGGAATTGTTCAGCATTTCATCCTCTCTGTAATGGGCTATTATTCAAAATTGTTTCTTAATGCGACGCCGTGTCAGAGAGACGAAAAGGAATAATATAGTGTTGAAAACCAAATGATAACAAGTTTTGTTAAAGATATGGGATTAAAATATCTCAGAATCTAAAAATCGGACCTGCGTTCTGTAGACGAGGGAATTGTTCAACACTTCATCCTCCCTGTAATGGGCTATTATTCAAAATTGTTTTTTAATACGACGCCGTGTCAGAGAGGCGAAAAGGAATAATATAGTATCAAAAATCAAATGATAACGAGTTTTATTAAAGGTGATAAATATTCAGGACGCAGTCTTTTTAAATTTTTTTTTTTATTTTTGCCAACGTTTCAACCCAAACATGTGGGTCATCTTCAGAGCTGAAAATGTTTTTTTAAAAATTAAAAAAAAAAAACACCCATATGTTTGGGTTGAAACGTTGGCAAATATGAAAAAAATTTAAAAAAGACTGCGTCCTGAATATTCATCATCCGTGATATATAGAACATTCGACTAACTTCCTTCAAGAGTTTTGTTAAAGATATGGATTAAAATATCTCAAACCTAAAAATCGGACCTGGATTCTGTAGACGAGGGAATTGTTCAACATTTCATCCTCCTTGTAATGGGCTATTATTCAAAATTGTTTCTTAATGCGACGCTGTGTCAGAGAGGCGAAAAGGAATAATATAATAATAATACTTTATTTATTCTGGGACGAGTCCCTTTAGAATAATACATAAGGACAGTAATGTGGGCTAAGGAGCCTCAGAGATACATAAACAGAAATGTTGAGTAATGAAATAGTCATATTAAAAATTATAAGTTACTTTCCAACTTAAATAAGTTAATAATGAAAAATTGAAAATAATGAAGAACAATATAATAATTTATATACATATTTACAGTGGTATCTATTTACAATTTTATGGGAACTGGATGGATAAGAAATGATTGAACAGGCGGGATTTAAAGGTAGAAAGGGTATTGGATTGACGGATGTGGGAAGGGATGGAGTTCCATAAGGATGAGGATCGGATAATGAATATATAGTGTCGAAAACCAAATGATAACGAATTTTATTAAAGATATGGATTAAAATATCTCAGAATCTAAAAATCGGACTTGCATACTGTAAGCGAGGGAAATGTTCAGCATTTCATCCTCTTTATATCGAGCTACTATTTATAATACATATTTCATATTATTAATCTCGCCTTCTATTAATGTAAAAAGAGATTAGTTACTATCGTAACTCAAAAACGTTGTTACCTTCAGGAGTGATTACCCTAGAAAAGCCAAAGTCACACAGTTTGAGGTTGAGTGATTCTGTGATTAATATATTTTCACACTTTATGTCTCTATGAACAATATTTATACCATGAAGATAAGTCAAGGCCAGTGCACACTGTGCAATCCAAAATCTTGCCCTGTTCTCTGACACTCTCCCCCTGGTCATCAAATAGTCTAACAGGTCTCCAGTTTCAGCGTATCTGTTTATCCATACAAAAATAGATTATTTACACCTTACTCTCAAATAGATAGGTAAAAATGATTCTGTTTTATCTTTTTTTTTTTCAAAAGTATAGCTCTAATCCCAACTTTTATAAAATGTAATCTATGTAAACATACTTAAAAATTATTTTTTTAACATAGCTCACTGTAAATGATGATGAAGGTGATGTAAATGCTGTTGGCATTTTAACAAGAAATTTAATTTCAGTGTTATTATCCTACAAGCTAGATTTCCTTAACCGTAGCATCTACGATTTAACGAATAGAATATTAGTTTTCTAATGAATTGCTCATTTAAGAAGTAACTATGGCAATACATTGTTTTATTGTATTAGACGCACCTCGATCAAGTGGTTCAGAAAGAAGGTATTATTGTTATTATTATTTTTTTTAAATGATGTGTCAAAAAAGGAAAACATTATGATGAATTGGAAAAAAAAATCAATCAGCATTAACATTTATTAAAAAACAAATAACTTACAGTAGTTGTATTTTAATAGTTTTTAATTGTATTAAACGTAAGTACTCTTCATTTTCGTACCTTAGTTAGAAATCTTCTGTTTTACACATCAGTTAAACATGTTAAAAATCCAATAGTAACGTTTATTTATCTCATAGCTTACGAATTGAAGAGATTTTCTATGTTCTTTTGCGAATGACATTTATGTAAGTTACGTAATGGCTTTTTTGTATCGTTCCGGAGAAAGTTTTTTTTCATATAAAATATAATTCCTTTTATATGTAAACTGATAACATATAATTCATATTTTATGTTTTTATTAATTCCCTCCGCGACCTTTTGTAAAAATGTATATATTGGAGTACTGGCACTGGCCAGATTCTTCACTCAAGTCCTGAGCGTCTGTTGCTCTAGTGCCCTCCATCAGCCTCCACTGGCTTACTATACCAGTGACGCGGCTGGGAGAGAAACACTGGGATCTCCTGGAGTCCTGCTTTGGCTTCCACAGTTGGGGGACAAAGCTTGATTCGGAGTCCCCTGGGCCAGTGTAAATATTGTACATAGGTGTGAATGTGTTTTATTTGTTTTGTTATTACTCGGCTGGTCTGTTGTTTTAATTATCTTGTATATTACTTTATCTTTCTATTTATATATATATATACTTTTTTTTTTTTCCTTTCTTATGTACATATTTTATGAATGAATACTATAGCACTAGTACCAATGCCCGTCAGTGTGGCAGACTGTATTAATACTCAATAAAAGTTAAAAAAAAAAAAATTAATTCTCTGACTACGGCCATGCCTACAAGAAGTACAATTCGCTTTTGTTGACCGCATCTATATATTTAATCATTTTTTAGTAAAGTTTATGTTTATGCATATTGGAACTTGGTGTAATAATCGGGTGTCTAAGACTTCAACATACAATAAGTAAATTGACGTATTGTCCGAAGATTCGTGAATTTCGTTAGGGTTTGAAGACTAATTCGCCAAACATTAAATATCCATAAACATCAACTCCACTGATTATTGATGTGCATAATAGGTAACTATACAAGTACATTCTGTCCCATAGCACAGACAGTTTTTTCCTAGTTGGATTTGTTTCTTTTTTTTATAATTAAATAATTTTATTATTATTGAACAAGCTGGACTTGAGGCCATGGAACGTATTGCTTAATTCCTAGATGTGCCTAAAAGCCAATTATGACTTGTTTTAATCAATTGTATAATAAATTAAACCGTCATTATTTATTTATTTCTATATCATTATTTATTTGTTATATATTTCTCCCAGACATTAACTCGTGACCGGGTAAAGCGACATAATTAATTTGGTTTTATTCACACAGATTAATACATTACATTAATAATATTTTGGTTTATTATTTTCAATAATAAACCATTGTAATCGTCCAAAAAATTCAAAAACTTAACCCCTCCAAATTTGAGGTTTTTCCATTCAGAAGACGTAGAACTCGAAAGTAGAATAAAAAAAAACATTCCACCGTACGCCGTCCCCGTATTTTCTACGAGACTACCGGACCTATTTTTTTTTCAAATTTGGAATCAAAGTCAGAGGTCACCCGAAGATGATCTTCCTTCCTCGACATTACTATCCGCTCTTTTCTTTCAAGATGGCAGCTGAAAAACCTGTGTAGTTATAGACTGTAGCGCTTAAACATATGTACCAATTTCAATGAAACTTGGCTGAAGTTTCATCTTCTCGGTACCCTTTAAATATATATATATATATATATATATATATATATATATATATATATATATATATATATATATATATATATATATATATAATACTTCACAGAAAAGTACTTCCCTTTCAAGATGGCGGCCGAAAGACCTGTGACGTATGGACCTATTTCAATGAAACTTAGCTAAAGTCTTTTCCTTCGAAACCCTTTAGATTTATCTATATAACATACATCAACGAAAAGAAACTGGAAAAGTTACGAGGGTGGTAAAATTAGATTTTCGAATAACTTTAAAAGTATACACATTTTTGTTGATGTTATGTTCATTTAGATGTTTGCGAAATTTCATAAAATATATTTAAAAAATTGTTGAAATCGGGCAATTTGGTGCAAAGATATGGTTTGCAAAGCGTATTCCCTTTGTTTTGGTTTTTAATATCCTCAAAGTGTTACATCAACTGAAGCAGTGTTTTTTTAGAAAATAACTTAGAATGTTGGAACCCCCATACCAGACTGAATCGGCTAGAAATCGCCCGACGTTTTCTACTACTGCAGCACTTACTAGACAAACGATCTAAGCTTTCAATCAATTATAAACGACTCGTATATATGACAATAATAAGACCTATTTGGACTTACGGAATTGAGCTTTGGGGTTCCACTAAACCATCGAATTCCTCTCGTATCCAATCCTTACAATCCATAATCCTTCGTAAAATCCTCAACGCTCCTTACTTTGTCACAAATAAAATCATCCATAAAGACCTTAATGTTCCATATGTTTCCGATCTGGCCCAATCCAGATACCTTTCCTTCCATAACAAACTGCAGAACCATCCGAATCCTCTCGTTTCAAACCTTGCTTCCTCCTCGATCCCTGATAACCCTCCGAGGCGTCTGAAAAGAAGATGGCCTCGGGATCTTCTAATATAGAACTTTAATTTGAGTTCTACCAATGGGTAGTTTCTCTTCATGTTGTACATGTCATGTTACCAATTTCACATTTTTCACATTTACTTATTGTATTTTATATGTAATACAGTTGTAAATTCCATTCAAATAATAAAATAAAAAAAAACTTAGAATGAAATAAAAAGTTATTTATGTAAATATTAGGAATCACATTTATTTATATCTTCCTTATGTTGCATGGAATGAAATGTTACTTTTTTATATATAATTGTTTGGAAATAATAAACCATTGTGTAATAATATGGAACGTTTTCCTTATATGTTTATTTTTTAGTATCATTAATCTGAATTACAACATCAGTTATGAATTAATAATGTATAAATACCATAATTAATTCATTAATTATTAATAATTGATAAATTATTACCTCATAAACATATAGTATTTGACCTTTCTTTGAAAAATAAAATCAACGTGTATAATGTTGGGGTGTCCAATCTTCATTAAGACATTTAGTTCTCTTGGCAGAAATTTGTTGACATAGTCAACTGGAGCATTTTTCGTATCAATAACTTTGCAAGCCAGAAAGATAAATTTATTATTCATAATCTTTTTACACAGAAATACCTAAAATTGATATTTAAATAACACAATAATGTTTAGGTTAGAAATAATGTAATCATGTATAAAGGTCTTCTTTAAGGAGGAAAATTAAAACTCTAGAATTTCCATAAGTAGCTCCTTAATTCAATTATCAGTCCATTATCTGGATATCATATTGTTTAGAAATTTTATATTCATAATTTTGAAATGCTCAGTTTCAAAATATTGGGGATTTCGTATATTCAGGAATGCACTGTACATTTTGTAATGTTGTTTTTCGTTTTAGACCAATACCGAAGGCATTTGTTTTTTCATGTCTTATTATGTTCGTTGGTGTAATTTTAATTTTGGTTTTGATCTATTATGTTCTGTATTTTGAATTAGTTTGTTATATTTTTTATATAACCGTACCAAACATAAAAGCTTAAATAGGAACGACTTCGGCAGACAGCGTATTTTAACATAGCAGATCGTGAGAATATATATGTATATATAAAGTCCGGTTTTTAATAGGAAATACTGTAATAATAATAGAAAAATAGTTTTTTTACTTATACCTTGGCATAGGAACCTTCACCGATTCGTTTTTCAATGGTGTAACCTCTTACCATTAATGTATGTTCTTCTGATTTGGTAAAGGACAGGTTTAGATTTGTATCCCCAATCATAGACATATTAATTATCTGGAAATAAATATACGTTACTCATAAGGTTACTTTTCTAAAATATTTTAAATTTCATCACATATTGTTTTTAATTTTTTTTTCTTTTAAATTATCGCATTCCATGAGTAAAGCGCCCTGGATACCACGTTCGAGTCAGTCCGGCTGTGATTGATAATTATGTATTCTGTTAGATTAACCGTGAATCGACTCTGGACTCGGAAGACCTTCCTGAGACACACTCAGTCTTAACATAGTGAATAAGCGAAACTATGGAATTAGGTGAAATTGATATGGAAGCTTATAGATATCAATCTACACAATCCATGAAATTTTCATTAAAATCAGACTAATGGTAATAGGTATAATGCTCGGCACATAGATTTGACTGTTCTTTGGGAGCGGCTGACCGAACGTGCAAAACACGCGTTGCCGGGCAATCAGATGATTGATAAACTTAAGTTATTAAATATAAAATTGTTACGAGTTCGCGTCCCAGAGCCAGGGGAGCTTTTAACTCCGGTATTGATCCCCCGCCCTCTCCCCTGGTCCAGGAAAACCCTCGTATAGCCTAAAAAGCGAGGTATGGCTGGACTAAAAAATAAAAAAAGGATTTAACTCCAGACTAGTACGAAATCATGTTTATTTCTTTATATGTACAACGTAAGTTAATTTTCAATTAGAACTTTTATTTCACTTGCTGCATGAATAAAACGCGTCTCCATTTCCAAGGAAGAAAAAAAAGTGAATAGAGCTTAATTAGATAATTTTTAAAAATCAACAGTGGTAATGAAATCCAACTGTTGAAGAAAAAATAAAACAGATCCTCTATATTTATATATATATATATATATATATATATATATATATATATATATATATATATATATATATATTATCCTATTATGTACTCCTTTATTTAATTAATAAAATTCTTCTTTTTTAAAAGGTTTTTATATTTATCTATTCAAAAAAAAAAAACTTATCATAATATCAAAATTAGATTAGATATTATAATAAAGTATGTTCATACGAATATATTTAATTTTTAGAACAAACAGTCTCTTTTTCTTTTTTTATAGTTTATTTTACCTGGCATCTCTTTGCATTTATTTATATTTTCTAGTTTATTTATTTTGTTTTTTATTTATTTATTTTTTTATTTTATAGCTCATCCTACGTTACTTTTTTCAACTGGGAAAGACATCAGAATTGCTAATATTTCTCGACCTTCTAAAGTCACCACAATTGTTAAGGTAAAAATGCAGTTTTTCAAATTTATTTTATATATATTTTTTTAATTTTATATTTTATGATAACAATGTTTTTAATAATAATTACTACTTCCGTTACCTTCGCTATATGTGGCTAAGTTAAAGAAGGTATTACTTTAATAATTGCTTTACTTAAATTTTTAGAACTCGGTATTAAACAAATTATTTAATTTATTTTTATTATTTATTTTATTAGGTTCAAAGCTCCAGCTCCAAAATCGTATTTTCTTTTAATTTCGTGGATTATTGTCCTTTGTTCCCTTTGTCTCTGTACCAAATAGGCCACACCGCTTGTAGTCCCGTAAAATTAGGGATTGACCCTAACATTAAAATAATAAAGATGAAACTTATCAGAAATTGGTCATTGCCCTCCTCATAATAACTTGTAAAAAAATCCTGCGTTGGGAGTTGGCAGAGGGGGAGAAGAATTTTGTATTTTTTCTTGTTTTTTAGAATACCTAAAAAACTACGAGGTTTTTAGCAAACAATGAAACTTCGCTAAACTCATTTTCTTGCCACCCTTTAAATTTATCTATATAACATACTTCAACGAAAAGAAGCTGGAAAAAAAGTTGCTAGGGATGTTAAAATTAAATTCTGAATAACTCAAAAAGTATACGCTTTTTTGGCGACATTGTATATGGTTTTTTAAAAGTTTATGGAATTTCCTTAAAAAAACAAAAACAAAAATCGTTAAAATGGGACAATTAGGAGGAAATATATAGTCTCAAGTTTTTTTCCCTGAAGAGGCGAAAATTTGGATAAATTTAAAATATTTTTTTTTTAATTGTTGAGACTAAAAAAATCTTTTTTCTACAAATATTTAATAAAGTGTCTTTCCTAAGAACATTTTTCATAAGAAATAAGTACCTAAATTTATACCTTTATTATCAGTTCTATATTTCAACACTGGAATCAACTTACTCATTGTCTGCATAGATAACTTTTTCAACTAAAAATATCACTAGAATGACATCACTCAAAAATGTTGAAATTGGAGTTAGTCATTCTGTGGTTTATAAAAGCAAAGTAGATCGGTAAGTGAAAGTTGTGTGTTGCGCGCACCAGATTTTTTTTTCTTACGCCTGTTGACAGACTTTTTCGCCACGGGTCTTTTTAGTAGCTTTTGGGACTGTTATAGCCGACAGCAGTGATCGTTTGGTTCTCTGTTCTTCGGGATATCCAGAGAGCACGTGGTTTACTAACCGGACGCGATCACAATTCACTCCCTCTTCATCAGGAACTTTCCTGAAGGATGGTTGGCAATTTTCCACCCAGTTTTTAATGGGATAGGAGATTATACAGCCGTATACCCAACCTCCAACCTGCTTTTGTAATATTTTCAACAAAAAAAATCTAAATAAATATTAGTTTTCTGTCCCCTCCCTATCAAAATCCGTTTAGGGATTCTTTGCGACTTTTTACCAGTTATTATGAACAATTTCTCGCATATTTCATCTTTTTTTTTTTTTTGTAATGTTGGCGTGAGGCTGTTTTTCCCCTGACTTTACTGGACTGTTATGCTATACTGTAAGATGTAAGATACGAAAAATGAGTTTTTCTCAAGACACGCGTTTTGGCAAAACTTGTCTAACGTCTTCGCCTGCTTGCCATTTAACTTATCACATGTTAGACATAATTTTGTTTGTTCATACTCAAGAACTCTACATTTTATGAAAAAATAAAAAATCACAATTTGAAAATTAAATAAATTCTTCACTAAACCAAAATAAAAATTAATTAAATAGAAGCTGCATTGGTCGAGATCCGTGTTTTTATTTCTATTCAACCCATGTTTTTAAAAGTATTTGCTGCCATTTATCATGGAATCACCTATATTTTTTCGTTGTTTGTTTTAAAATAATTACATTTTCCCCTGAGGTAAGCTTAATAAAAAAAATCTTATTGATACCGATATTAGAATCCAAAGCTGTAAGAAAAGTCCTGTTGCTTTTATTAATTAATTAACATTCAAGTTGATAACTCAGTGGTAAAAAAATTTAATAGAATTCCTTTCTCGGTGATTACTTATATTGTACTGTATCTCGTTTTTTAAATGAACTTTTATTAAATAAAATTACCTTCAACAATGAAAATTTTACTCCTTTTTCTTCTTTCATATGCTTTTTAAACTAATTATGTACAAACAAATTATTTCGCAATCTGAGGGGAAAAAATTAATAAATAAAACCAGTATGTAATTGCAAAGTTATCTCAGAAATGGAGATTTACCTTTCAGCTTTACCATTCGTGTTAAAACTGGTAGAAAATACTTTATTGCGAAAATAAAAAAAGAACACAGGAATGTACAATAAAAAATTTATATAAAATTTTAAAATTAACACATGTACATCATGTCTTTGTACATTGATTGAAGTCTCATCCATTAAGCACAGGCACTAAAGAAATATTGAAGGTGTTCTCGGTTAATGTAGTATGATCATAATGTTAAATACACGGTTATTTATTAATATCGGTTATTTATTACTTTTTGTTAATATCTCAGCCTACAACTCGTTACTGGGTTCGTACCAACTTCGCCAATCCTTCGCGGTTCCGCGCAGCCGCCTCCCAATTGCGTGATTATAACAAGAGGAAGTCAACTTATGAATTTTATTTTATTTTTTAAAGTAGCTATGTAAAGATAAAATATAAAATGAAAATGATTAATGATCAAATTTTATTAGGCTGTAATGATTGTTTATTTGTTTTTGAAAGTTTCTTCTCTTGAAAATGGCCTGGATTGGAGTAAAGGAAAAAATAACGTAGGTCTAATATGATTTAATAATACAGCTCATTGTACATATGAGGGCTCTAGAAAAGTTTTGCAATACATCTTTATTTTCTGCAAGTTTTCTCAATAGTTTCCATCGCACATCACAAAATAGTACATTCGCACATTCCACACTTCTCCACTCTCCTAAACCAGTGTTCTACAATCTGGGCACATTCAACTTCCCAAGCCCTCAGACAGTCCTCATTGCTTGTCAACTGCCTTCCTTTCAAGTTGTTTTTCACTTGAGGGAAAAGCGTAAAGTCTCAGATATATCTGTAAAGTCTATATCTGGGTTGTAATATGCAAAGAATGAAACCATTCTTGAGTTCAACCGAAGTTTCTCAAGAGCCTGCTCGCTTTATGGAGACATTCCCCGGTTTACCAATTCCCTTGAGTCTTTTGTGTTTCTAGCACTACTCACTCTGCAACACCTCTCACCCCAAAAAGTACTGCCACCATTCTCTTCTCAACAGATATTGATTGCTGGACAATCATGAGGGGGGGAGGGGGTGTCCTCATCCTTAGGCTTGGACAAGTCTGCACATGCACCAACCCTTCCCCTCCTCGCTTGATCCCATCACTCATATTGCAAAACATTCCTAGTGCTCTTTTTGTATATTAGTTCCTTTGGTGAAGGCATGTGGCAAAATAAGTTTTGTGTAACTTATTCATCAATTTGAAAGATTCCCTGGCCTTGATATTAGCTCACTTCTTCCTTGGCAGTTTTTAGGTGACAAGCTATTAGCAGTATTAAGTATCTTTTTAGATATAGTCAACGGCAACATACACATGCCATAATTTTTTTTTTTTTAATTGGTGAAACATTTTGTTTAGGACAAGCATATTTTTATTAAGTATTAAATTTACTACTTTTGTTGATTTCTTAAACTGCAGTATTTTTTTGACATCTATCAAATTAAATTTTTTTTATTTTATAATAGATCTAAATATTTTTCTATTACCGAATCATGTGTTATTGGTTATAACTATAGGTTTCTTAGTTTTTAGTAAGGTAGGAATTAAAAAAAAACTTGTTCATATTATTGTTCCCAACGGGTTATTATTCCTTAAGAATACAATACAGTGTAGTTTTCCCCTATAATAAAGGTGTAATATTGCTCCATTATAATAAAAGGTGTAATATTCCTCCCATACAAAATGTAAAGATGGGTACCCATAATCAATAAGAATTACTCAGATACCAAATATGCAACAAAGGATTATGTTAAGGAAGATCAAAATGGTCGAGGTAGATAAATAGAAAATTAGTAATTTAACAGGTAAAATATCTACTTTATTTAAATAAAATATAATAAATTCCAATATGAAAGTCATCTTATCTTACTTTTGCTTGAGTTCTTTTTTTTTTTATGTGTGTACATCGTTTCATACCTGAAATTCTCTTCGGAGTGGCAAGAATGAATACTTAATTTCTGAAAAACTCTATTTTCTCAGCTATTATATATCTCCCTAGACCTTTTTCTATCTTCCAAAAACCAAAAATTATGTATTTGAAAGTTATGAATATAGTTATTAAGAATAATAGAATTTTCTCAGTTATACAATAAAATATAGCTTCTTACTAAAACAATTCTACAGGACCTTGAACAAGGCTTTGCATTAGACTTTTGCTATGAGGGGCGGTTGGTCTGCTGGTCCGATTCAAAATCACTTATCCAGTGTGTCAGCTACAATGGAACGCACGTTGGCTCCAAGGTAAATAATGCCATTTATCAGTTCTTACATTAATATTGTTGATGAGTACGAATTTATTATTACTTGTAATTTAGGTTTTGAAATTGAAAAACTTATTTTAGTTTATTTATTGTATTTATAATTCCTATCACATGTATCCAAATTACCATATGTTTTTATATCCCTGTATATTTATTAAATTAAACAAGTCTATTGTTTCAAAGATTCCTTAAACACAGATTTGCTACTGTTCACAAAGATATCTCAGAAATATGCGCAAAGAATACTGCATAAATCCTTATCCTGTCATAAAACAAATATCAATACTATTACTTAATTTATTAAGTATTTCTTCAATCATAATTTTTATATGACTTAAATGATATGTTATTATTGCAATGACAAAGTGTTTCTAAAAATGTATTGAACTACAAAAATTAGGTTTAAAATTATGATTATAGATGTAAGGTAGCTAATTTCTTATTTAAATTGGTTGTAACTTATTTAATACCATTCTAACATGCTGTAATATCTGAGGGATATACTTTCTTGAAAAACATAATTTTAGTTTTGTATAACTCTTGTTTTCATGCTAGACTTGTTCACTGGAACTCAGGGTTTCTTAAAACGTGTTTTATACTTTCTAAAATAAATATCATTTTAACATAAAATACATTTATCAGGAAAAAATGATAAAAATATTTCATAACATTTTTTCATGAAAGAAACTTGTTACCTATGTTTCCTAGAGGCCATATTTATATAATGTCCTTCTTTTATTATTAACTTGAAGTTATTCAAGGATCAAAATCGTTACTTACTTTTTCTATGCTTTGAAAGCACAGGTGGATCTACGGGGGGGAGGAGGGAGGGGTCTTTCGGGCTGAAGCCCTCCCCCTAAAATGGTAAAATATTACCATGTTTTACAGAAAAAAATATTAAAAACTACCTCATAAAGTATTCTTGTTCTTGTAATTATATTTAATAGGACTTCAAGAACCACTTAAACACCATTTCATATAGGTAATTAATTTCTTTCTCTTTTTTTTTCAAATTAATTATCTTTATGTCTACATGAAAAAAAAATCTTTCGGGCTGAAGCCCCCCCCCCAAAAATCCAAAAATTAAATTCTGGATCCGCTAGTGCTTGAAAGTCATATCTAATGGTTGATTTTTATTATGAAATAATGGTTAATGAAAACTTTATCTTTATCCATTGATATTGATTTATAATAACAAATGTTTGATAATATCTAAAATATTAAGATTTTTTTTTTTCTCTCACTACTTCTCTTTTTCATTATCTTCTTTTAACTTAGGTGAATATAATTGCAAATCAGCAAATAGTTGCTGATGGACTTGCTTGTGATTGGTTAACTCAAAAACTATATTGGACTCATGCAGAAGCTCATCGAATCGAGGTTGTTTCCCTCGACAAATACTACAGGAAAGTTCTATTTTGGGAAGACATTGATGAGGTCAGAGCAATCGCTCTAGTCCCGACGGAAAGGTCAGTGATGTTTTATCCATGTTAATTTTTTATTATAAATTCAATTATCTTATTTATTTTATTTTATTTTTTTGTTTAGCATCATGTTTTGGACAGATTGGGGTGAAACAGCAAAAATTGAACGTGCTGCAATGGATGGTGATCCAAAAAGTCGACGAGTCATTGTTTCTCACAACATATTTTGGCCTAATGGGCTTACTGTAGACTATGATTCTAGAAAAATTTACTGGTTAGATGCAAGACTCCATTTTATCGATGTAAGTAACAAATATTCTGCTCATGTAAATGTGTTTAATAGTGTGATTTAGTATTAAATAAGATGTTTTTACAATAGTAATAACATATGCATTCAAAACATGGTTTATAACACCTTTCACATTCCTAAGAATATAAATGTTATCAATAAAAGGTAGCAAATATTTTCTTTCATCAGCCATATAAAATCATTTTTATTTCCTGTATAACATTAAATAAAATCTATAGATTACAGATATAGTTTTGATCTAAAATGTATAATGTTATAAAAACTAATATTTATTGTTAATTTTTTAGAACTGTGAGAAGTTAATGCTTTTAATGAGTTATAAATAATTTCTTTTATCAGGACAGGAAAACGTTTAGTGATGTGGCATCATTTTATGTTGTATTTATACTTGTGATGCTGAGTGTTTCTCTGAAGCTCAGAGAACTCTTCTGTCTTGGTTGGTGGGTATTAGATATTGCGCTGCTTATTTTGGACTGCCTTACCTCTAGTGTTGCTACCCTCCAATGTCACCTCATGGTTACCCTAATTTATTGTACAATTGACCTATTGTGTAACTTCCTTCTGGCCAAATCTCTTGTGAAGTTTTCCTATCTTTATGGTGTGTCTAAACCTATGATTACTTAGTTGCTGTTTTTTATTTTATTATTATTATTTAGGTTCTGAAAAATCATATTTTCAAATTTGAGTTTGGGTCATTCTTTTTGAAGTGAAAACTTCTTTTGGCGCGTTTAGCACTTTTTCGTGAATAGTGAATGAGACTGAGCCATTACGCCTGGCTATGTAGCACTTGTTCAGGTAAAGTCGGCTCAATTCATCTAATTTTTGCATTTGGATTAAAGTATCTCAGATACTAAAAATCAGACCTGCATACTGTAAACGAGGGAAATGTTCAGCATTTCAAAATTCTATCTTGACCTGAGGCTGTGTTAGAGAGGCAAAAAGGGAAAAATATAATGTCAGATACCAATCATAACAAATTTCATACTAAATATTGTCATATTAAATATGAAAATGGAAATTAGATGTTATATATTATTCAAGGTAAGAGTGAAAAAAACAAAATCGATTTAGGGTCACTTTTGGGTTAACGATGCCTCCAATAATCCAATAAAATTTCCAATTATAAGATTCTTTTTTTGCTATTCTGAATATATTAGTTGGTTAAAAGGGGGTTTTAACTGTAAGAAATACAAAAATACTTATATTTTCTAAAAAAATAATCTCATGTTTGAAATATCTTATTTGCAAGGCTTGCTTCTGTAAGGACATCTAGGCCTGCTATGCAAGATCCTTATCATATACCCATTAATTTTTTAAGATTTATCTTTTATATTACTTCAGTAGATTTTAGTTGTTTTTTTATGTTTGTTTTAAGTTGTTATCATGTTGACCATTTTAAATATTACCCATCACTTTGTATGAGTAAATTTGTGTTGCTTTGGTTTTTTATATTCTTTATCATCTCCATGATTTTTCAATTTTTATTTGCAGGAAATGGACTATGATGGTAGAAATAGAAAAACTGTTACCAATAAAGGAGTACAATATCCATATGCTTTAACATTTTTTAAGGAAAAACTATATTGGACTGATTGGGATACCTGGTAATTAATCCATTTCTTCTTTATTTGTTAAATAAGCTACATTATACGCAAAAAAAAAAAAAAATTCTTTTATGTTTAGTAGTTTGTAATTTGATAATTTTTCAATGAATAATTACATATGTATTTTAATTAACATATATTGATATACTTCAAACATATTGCAACTCTTTAACTATAGATATGTGCAATAGGTCTGTTCACATGTTTGATCGTCAATCGGGACACGAAGGGAAAGAACTAGTACATGTCCAGGATGCTGTGCCAATTGATATCGAGGTCATGGATCCATCTAGACAAATCTTCAAAAAGACTCCTTGTCATAATAATAATGGTGGCTGTTCACATCTTTGCCTTCTATCTCCTAATCCTCCTGGTTATACTTGTGGATGCCCTACTGGTGTTAAACTCTTGGATAACTTTACTTGTGCTGATGGTAAGAATCGATATAGTATAACTTCTTTTATAACTGGTGATGATAGTGAGAATTACATTATATTTATATTATATTTGCTTTATTTTTGTTATAATTGTGTATAGACAAAAAGAAAGGTTGAATAAGTTCCAAATATATCAAACTATATATTTTCAACAATGTTACAACATCTTTCTTTGTTTCTTTTTTAGTTAATTCTATCTGCAGTAATGCCTGAAATAATTTGTTCTTCCTCAGATGCCCATTTCTACTTTGAGCCTTTCTGTAATGATTTGTGCTGAGGAGCACAACTCCCTTGCAAATCCAGAATAAATCTTGACTATTAATTCAAAGAGCCTCATAGAGAACGCAATTCTTTAACATTCTTTTACTTGAAATAGGAGATACTATTTTATTGAGACGGTTGAATCCGGTTACTGTTGATACTGTGACTAAGACATTTAATTTCTTTTTCAAACAGCCTAACTTTATTTGGCTGAGTTTTCAACCCCACCCATTTCAATTTTTCTAAAACCAAATTAATGTAAATGTTCTCAAGATTTTCCTCCTTCTTTCGTACGTGAAATATCCTCGATGTATTGCAATAACCAGATATTTTTTTGACTTTTCACTTATTTCCATCTGTAAATAAGCATCCTTGAGGTCGATAGCGGAAAACTCTTGGAAACTGCTAAGTTTGTGCACTATTTGCTCAAATGTTGGGAAGGGGTGGGAATTTACAATCATATGAGGATTAACGTTAACTCTAAAATCACCACAAACTACTGGGTGATGTCCATTCTACCATTGTCTTTAATGGGTCCACTTTTTCTAATACTCCTTCGTGAATAAGCCAGTCCATTTTGTGATCGCTGCTTTTTTTAAAGCAAACGTAACACTTCGAGCTTTAAAGAGTTTTGGTGTTACTCCATCGCATAGCTAAATTTTGACTTGAAATCCCTTCATTGTTCCAACGCGGCTTTGGAAAAGTTCAAAGTGTTGCTCAAACACCTTATTTTTAGCCTGTTTGAGGTTTTCATCTGAAATTTTTTTAATTTCTGAGTTGTTAACATTACTTAACTCATAGATGGACATAATCATAATCAACGATTATCATCAAAAAAGATTTTTGATTTTGATTATAATCTCGTAATCATATAATCAAAATCACTATAATCGTAATCATAATCGCATAATTGTAATCAAAAAATCAAATACACACGATTTTCCTCTTACAATATCATAAACCTGATTACGATTACAATCGTGTAATAAGGTAATAAAAATCACTGTAATCGTAATCACGTATTTGTAATCATAAAATCAAATACCCACGATTTTCCTCTGTTTAGAGATAGGCTAAAAGGAAAACAAGTATAAAACATTTTCTATTTTCTTTTAGCTGTCGGGAGCATTTTCTATGATACCGTCACTGTCGGTTTAACATTTAACATTTTCCTAATTTTCATTCACTTTTTCTCTTTTATCCCATGAAGTATGCTCGGTTTTTCACCGCTCCAACAGTTTTCCGACTATGTAGATGTGGGGGACAATGGAGAATTGATGTGGAAATTTTTCCGAATTTCCATTCGCTTTCCTTCTTTTTATCTCCTGAATGAATGCTCGGTTTTTCACTATTCCAAGAATTTACAGCTGTATTGAGGCAGGCCAATGGAAATAGGATCGCTACAAATTTTCATTCACTTTTCCTCTTTCATCTCGTGAACGAATGCTTGGTTTTTCGCCGTACCAACTGTTTTCCGACTATGTAGATGTAGGTGAAAATGGGGAAATGGTTTAGAAATTTTTTTGAATTTTCATTCGATTTTCCTCTTTTATCTCGTGAATAAATGCTCGGTTTTTCACCGCTCCAACAGTTTTCCGACTATGTAGATGTGGTTGACAGTGCAGAATTGTTGTAGAAACTTTTCCAAATTTTCATTCACTTTTCCTCTTTTATCTTGGGAATGAAGGATCAGTTATTCACTGTACCAACTATGTAGATGTAGAGGAAAATGAGGAAATGATGTCAAAAATTTTTTGAATTTTCATTTTCTTTTCCTATTTTATCTTGAGAATTAAGGGTCAGTTTTTCTCCATTCCACTAATTTTCCGGCTATGTAGAGTTAAGTAAAAATGGAGAAATGGTGTAGACAATTTTCAGAATTTTTTTTTTTGGTAAAAAAGTTCTTAACAATGGTTGACATTCACCTTCTTCACTTTCCATTATTGAAAATAATTTATATATTTTTACAGGTCCCCAAGAAATGATTCTTTTAGTTCAAATGACTGAAATCTGCCTTATTTCTCTTGATTCGCCTGACCATACGAGTTTCTCCCTGAACCTACATGGAATCAAACATGCTATGGGAATTGATTATGATCCTGTGACAGGCTACCTTTACTGGACTGATGATATGGTATGCATTATTAATTAAACAAAAATAATTTATAGTATTCCAGTTATTTTATTAATTGTTTAAAATTTGTAGGCTCAGGTAATACGAAGAGCACGCCTTAATGGTACTGGCCAAGAGACAGTAGTTTCAACTGAACTTGAATTACCAGATGGAGTCGCCATTGATTGGAGAGCACAGAACCTGTATTGGACTGATACTGGAACTGATCGTATTCAAGTTCTCAGGATTAACACTACATACACTAAGGTAAGTTTTTAGTTAATGCATTTTCAAAATGAACTTATCAGATTATTTAAACTACACTCTTTCCTCTGTGTTGTCTGCGACTATTTCTCTTTATTCCTTGAATCTCTTTATCTTAATCTTTTGATGTAAGTTAACTTATTTAATTATTACAGATTCAATTAAATTAAAATTTATAAAATAAAGTTCAACATATAATATTATAGCTGAATTATCTATGATGAAAAAGAGATGTGCCTCATTGTATTACATTGAACTAAAATAAATAATTTTTTTTTTTAATTTTGCTTCAAGTATTGAAAAAATTGCCCTTTTAATAGTGAGTTGATACCCTGTGGTAAACGTTGAAATAATACAACTTTACGCAGTTAATTACATTGACAAAGTTTACTTTTATTTTCCAGGTTTTAATTAATACTGAATTGGTGGAACCCCGTGCAATTGCAGTAGCCCCCGATGAAGGACTAATGTTTTGGTCTGATTGGAATGAGAAAAAACCAAAAATTGAAAGAGCAGCCTTGGATGGAACACTTCGTGGAATTTTGGTCAGTGAAAGACTTGGTTGGCCAAATGGTATTGCATTGGATGTTTATGCTAAGAAATTATACTGGTGCGATGCTAAAACTGACAGTATTGAGGTAATTATAGGTCATTAATAACAATTATAATTATTATAACTTCATAATCATTCATTTTGTTATTAAAATGTGTAATACTTTATTAATTTCAGGTCATTAACTTTGATGGCACTGAAAGGAGAGAAGTTGTAACCGATAATTTACCACATGTTTTTGGCATTACATTAGTTGGTGATTACTTGTACTGGACTGATTGGCAAAGAAGAAGTTTAGATTCAGCTCACAAAGTTACAGGCAACAATCGAAAGGTGAAGAAATTATGGAATTAGAAAATAAATTCATAAATAAAATATATTTTTATTATGTTTAAAAAAATAGATTGCCAATATAAATCGAGTAAATCCCGGTCTAAATAAAATATTGAATTTTTTCCATTATCTTTACCCTTTTTGTCATTGTTTATCATCAAAATTTTTTTCCCCAACATCTAATCGCTATTGTTTAAAACTGCAGAGGAAAAAAAGCTACTTATCTTAATGGCGCTGCCATATAATAGCAATTTTGAAAGCTAACATTCTGATATAACAGTATTTTTTCCCCCTTGATCAGGCTTATTGAACATCAGAAAAAGCTATGGTTTTCACTATTGCACTATGAACTTTTCCTTCCATTTTGAATCATATGAAAAACTGATGAGAATACTGATTTTGTAAGTGTTAATTGCTTTTGGGGCAAAAATAAAAAGGCAAATGCAAGTGAAGGCAGCATCAATAAACAATTGATTATTGAAAAGCAATTTAGGTTCACATCACATAAAAATATTTAAATATTATGATAAAAAAAGTTATAGAAATAGGGCATTACTGAAGTTAAAGCAATCAATTTTCTTAATAGGAACCTGTTCATAGATAATATTATTTTGAACATTGTATAATAATTAAAACAGTGTCATGGTGTCTAAATCAAGCTCCATTAACATTATTTTATTTTATTTTTTTTATGTTTAGGTTATATTGGATCAGTTGGCTAATATAATGGGTCTAAAAGCAGTGGGATCTCTTATTCCTTCTACTGTGGAAAATCCATGTGCTATCAATAATGGAAATTGTGCTCATTTATGTCTTAATACTCCAACTAAGTATGTGTGTGCTTGTCAAATGGGTATGTATTTTATGTTTTTGAGTATACATCTTTTTTTCTTTGCCCTCTTTGGTATTCTAATATTTACTTCTTTTTTTTATCTCCCTCTAGGTTATGAACTGGAAAGCAATAGAAAAACATGTGTAGTACCAGAAGCATTTTTGTTATTTGCCCGGAAAGAAAACATCGGCCGTATAAGCATAGAAAATCCTTATAACGATGCTATAATTCCTGCTTCAGGGATTAAAGATGCAAGGTAATTAGGCATTCCTGATAACCAAACCAAGGCCCGGATTTTTATGTAGTAAAATCCCACAGAATATGCCATATAATATGCTGTAAAAAAACCTGAAATATTCATTAAAAAAAAAACATGAGAAATGCAGTAACTGGTCTCTACATATACTAAACTAACTAATTACTTGATTACTATAAAATAAGTCAATAACGTATTTAAATATAATGACGTGCCTACAAAAAGGAATTATGGAGGGGTTGAAAATTACAATAACTTCAGTTCTTTAATTTTTTAATATCTAAACTAAAGAAAGAAAATAACTAAACATATATGGCTAGTAAGATTATAATGTAAATACATACATTATAATGGTAACGGAAGTGGAATATGAATCACACTAAAAAATTTAAATATCTAAGTGTATACAAACGAAAAAACAATAATTGTCTTAACGTAATTAAATAAGTATTGTAATAAAAGATAACAAATATTAAACAACAAGTATGTAAACGCTTTAAAATTTTGTATGTAAATGGATAACAATCTAACATGGCTCTTTATTTAAACAATAAAATAATTAACTAATTGTGGAATAAATAACGTAAAACAGATAAAATATTTGAATTAGTATAGACGAGTTCAATATTAAAATTAATTACCAGAAACATTGCTAAATTTGCTTCTGTGAAACCTAACCTTTTATAAGATAAGAAAATGATCTTTCTATATCAATATGCATGATAGGGGCAAATTTATATTTGCTTAAAATTACCAGGTTGATGTCGATGTTACTGGGGACAATTGAATCTTTGCTATTTAAAATTTTATTAATACCTTCCAGAATTGTGAGATCTGAATTTTTTACAGAAACGTCTTCCATTTAAAGTTTCACCCACTTGGCCTGGTACCACTGGTTTCCATCAGTTGTAAAAACTATTTCATGTCTGTTGTTTTAAGGTTCAATCCAAGATTTAAACATTGATGAATAGTTTTGAACATCGATAGATACTTTTGGCATTTTAAATGAACAGAAATATGATCTCTTGCTAAGAACGTAGGCAACAAATCAAAATAGAAACTTAGCATGATGTTTATGCGGGATAAGAAGTGAAAATTGGATTTCTAGGAATTGGAGAACAACCATACAGAGAATTATTAAAGGGTATAGCGCATGATAGGTATACAGCCTGGAAATGTGTTAGATTTTGTTCATTGAAAATAAATCTACGATTATTATCTTGAATAGCACCTTCAATATTGCATTTTAATTTGTATTGACAAAAAAATAAATATTCATTTACATATATAGATTTAAATTAATCAAAATATGCAATTATATGCATTTATCCTCTGATATTCAAAATAAAATTGGGCTAATTGCATCACAGAGTACTAATTTGTATAGATATTTGATCAGCGGTTAAAAAAAATAACACAAAGAAAATATGCAATTGCATAAAAATTGGGGCTTTGCTGATAACAAACGTATTGTTATAGAATGAAGGATATTGATTATTTACTAGTCCAAAATGTCTTTTTTCAAATTTTTTATTATTATTTTTTTTCATTACTATTGATTTCATATTTATTTTAGTATATATTTCCCCCATTTAATCTTAACTGTAGAAATGAATTATAAGTATACAAAGATTATGGCATAACTCACTTTTTTTTACAAACCTTTATAGTCAATAAAGATTGCATTTTATTTTCTCACGAAAATGTTATGTTCTCGTCTAAGCGTAGACTGCTTATTCAATCCAATTCAGATTTTTATATATAGTTAGTGTCAATTACTCTAACCATTCACTATTAATTTTTGATGATACTATCTTTTTTTTTTTTTTTTTTTTCTTGGCCTATCCCTAACAGCATGTAAATATTTTCACCATCTCATAAGCATGCTCAAAAGCCATTTTTCTTAACATAATGAAACAAATAAGATTTAGCAATTTTCTTCCGTTGTTTTTGACTTCTTTTTTTTTTTTCCAGTGCTTTAGATTTTGATATTAAGGATGATAGAATATTCTGGACAGATGTGAAAGCTAAAGCGATAACAAGAGCTTATATAAATGGATCACATGTGGAACGAATTATAGAATTTGGCCTCGAATCTCCGGAAGGTATTTAAAAATCTTATGTAGATAATGTGTAAATTGTTGATGCTTAAAGATTTAAAATGAATTATCTAATGGGTGGATCCATAAATTGTTCGGGTTTTGTTAGTTGTACAAATTGTTTTCATATATCTCCAGTTCTCTTGGCCTTATCTGACACTTATTGGAAAGGTCAAAGTCTGCTGTTCAAAACTGTTTTGTTTGGTTTCATTGGCATTAGTTTTGTTTGTGCTACTGTGAATATGTCAAATGATAAAGTGCATTTTCTGTATACATTGCTTTTTTATTTAAAAAAAAAGCAAGCGAGCTTCGGAGGTCCATCGAAAGATATGTAAGGTATACGAGGACAATGACTTAACAGAACGTACTGCTCAAAAATGGTTTCCCAAGTTTCATTCTGGTGATACAAGTCTCGAAGATGCTGCCCACTGAGGTTGATTCAAGTGATATCAAGGCTCAAATTGAACTGGTTGCTACAGGTATGAGAAATTGCGGAGACACTGAAAATAGTTTTTGGAACTGTTCAAAAGTATTTAAAACAGCTTGGCCACGTATCCTGCCTCGATGTTTGGGTGCCACACAAATTGACTTAGGCAAACCTGGCCAACCCAATATCAATCTGCAGCTCTCTTCTGAACCGGCATGAAAGGGACCCATTTTTCAAAGGAATAGTGACAGGTGACTAAAAGTGGATCATCTACAACATTGTAGTGTGCAGGATATCGTGGATAACTACTAACGAGCCACCTAATGCCTCCCTGAATGCCTGCCTACATCCGAACAAGATTTTATTCTCCACATGGTGGGGTTATCGAGGCGTACTACTTTATGAGTTGCTTCCACTTGAAAAAAACTATTAATCCGAAGATTTACTGCATGCATCTAACGAAATTGGATCAAGTCTTGCAACAGAAACACTCAGAACGGTGAATATATATTATCAAATAAAATTTATTCTTTGTATGAAAAAAATTGTTTATTTCATCCTTCAAAAAATGAACGAAGTTATGGATCCGTTCAGTATATAAGTTTAAAATTTTTTTTTTAAATAATGGCATTTGAAATAGTTATAATAAGAGAGTATATGGTTTTCAGGTCTTGCTGTGGACTGGCTAGCTCATAATATTTACTGGACAGATACAGGTACTAAGAGAATAGAAGTAGCAAAAACAGATGGCAATTATAGACGTGCCATCATCTGGACTAAACTTCAAGAACCTAGGAGCATAGCTGTCGATCCTACTGAAGGGTAATGAACTAACTATTTAAGTGTTAATAAGATATTGAAGTTTTTCCACAGTGGTAAACAAATTGTTCAACACAATTTTTTTTCTCTTTCCTCAATTATTGATATGAGTTCAATGACACTAGCGATTATAATTTTTAAGGCACATTAAAAATATTTTTTTTAGGTTTATATATTGGAGTGAATGGGCTGGGTTGGGCTCAATTCATCGAGCTCATCTGGACGGAAGTAGTCCTAGAAGTTTAATCAGTAATGTAGGAAGAGCTAACAGCTTGACCGTGGACCTGGCTGACAAGAAGATTTATTGGTGTGCTCTTCAGGGGCATATAGAGTCAGCTAATGCTGATGGCAGTAGAAGATCTATAGTCGTTACCAGTGCACGCCCTTTTACAATGAGCTTGTATCAGGTAAAAGCTTATTTCTTTCATATGTTCTTTCTTATTACTTTTTCTCTATTTTTACAAATTATTCAAGTGAGTATAAAACTGGTATTTTTGGATTTATTTATATACTTATTTACATTCACTGATTATTAGAAATATTGTTCACTAATATTTTATATGTATAGTGTTTAGGTTTATTCTCAATTATTTTCAGATATATATTTCACTGGTATATTTTAACATACACCATTTAATATTTAAATAGCATTCTCTAAAAATAATCATTTTTAAGTGACTAAAAAATATATTTAAGAAATTATTTTATATTTATCCACATATTTTCTAGTTGTTTTACATTATTTATCTGCTGAAAAGGTCAGAACCCTGGCAGACGTATATCATACATTAAGTTTCTAATCTCTTTAAGGAGCAATGTAACAATTTTATTTTTTGAGAAATTGGAGTTTATTTTAGACAAATATTGGTTGAGAAAATATGAACTAACAATATCCATTGCAATATTTTAAACAAATTTTATCGCATAGAAAATCTCTGATATTTTGAGGAAATTAATTCAATGTCTGCTTGATTGAAGTGAATGAATATTTCTTTCTTGATAATCTAAGTAATAAATTAGTTTACGAAATTCTATTATTTTATTGTTACTTCTTACTTTTCATCCAATCTTGGCCTTAAACAAACTCAAATTCTCTACTTAGCATGTTTACTTAACTCAAGCTCTGTTGACTATTGCTAATTGTTCATTTATTTACTGTCAAATTTTTAAGAGCTGTTAATTGAATTTACTATTATCCCGTTGCATTAATCTAATATTTTGCATAAAATATTAAAGCACTATCACCTCATTACTTGTTTCCCACAGGAGTTTTAGATCTATTTAACAGTCAATGCTCTTATAATTTTTCTTAGAATTTTTTTGTTTTTTATTTTCAATAATGAACCTTTGTAATCATATAAGAAAAGCAATTTTTAATCTTCCCTCCTCAAATTTTGAGATTTTAAATTTCAAGATACATTATTATGATTATATAACACAAAGCATCATGATATTGGCCAACTACTGGACATCTCCTTTTTAAAAACATTTCTCTTTTAGTTAATTATCCTATTTTCTCTTTTAGTTATTATGTTTTCTTTATAAAAAATCTTTGAGCTAGGCTAAAAAATAAAACACACATCAATAGAACAAAAAAAAAAAACTTGGTCTTTTGGACTTTAGCTAAAAAAAATGTTTACAAAAATATTAATAGCCCACTCTTCCTTTATGAATGTTCTCCCATTGCCAAATACATCTTGCTGCCTTTTTTGGAGAAAAGAAGTATTTTTTTTTTACTCCTCAATTATTTTTCCTTCGTCTTATTGGATATACATGATGCTTCATGGGCCAGGAGAGAGGGCAGGGGATTAATGGCGAAGTTGGCCATGGGCATGGGATTTGAACTCGTAATATTTACTTATTGATAACATATAATAGTCTACTCTTCAGATCAGCATAGTGTGAGGCATCTTAAGACTCTTGTTTAAGTATCCTTATGCAGCTACAGTTACATATCCAATATTTTATTTTGTAATTAAGAAGCTTATTTTGTTACAGGAAAAGATCTACTGGTCTGATTGGGAAACTGGTAGTCTGTATGTGGCAAACAAGTACACTGGCGAGAACAAAACAATTCTACATTCTAAGGTAGAGCAGGTGACTTCAGTGGTGGTCTACCATAGCTGGAGCCAGAGAGGGTGGGGCCCTTGCCTCACTGGTGGAGGCTGTTCCCAGCTCTGCCTTGGTCGATGTGCATGCCAGGCCCACTACATCCTCAATGACAGGAAATGTATTCGTAAGTGCTTTTATTTATTTATGATTAATCATTTTGAGAAATAAATGCATCTATGAATGTTTTGACCTGTGAGCATCTGATAATAATGTCTCTGTTTTTTTTTCCTATAGTTTCATTGTCTAAAGTAGGAGTTTTTAAATTTATGTGGCCTGAGAATCCTCGGATTTTTATTTAATGAGTAATTTGAATAAAACTGAAAATTTGGAGGATGTGTAGTTAGTGTTGACAATTTTTTTTTCTGTACCCCAAAATGACCCAGACCCTAGTTTAAGAACCTCTGGTCTAGAGCAGTTAATTGTAACTTAAAGTTGTGTACATCATGTATATCAGTTTTAATGTTTTCTATTCCAGCACCAAGTTCTTTCATGCTTGTTTCTACCAAGAACACAGTTAGCAGGCTTTTATTTGACTCTTCAGATGCTCCAGATGCTGCTCTCCCTGTAATTGGGCTGAAAAACATTAAAGCTGTCGACTATGATATGCAGCAGCATACACTCTACACTGTAAGCAATATTTGAGATTATAATGATGTATAATTTTATTTATATTAGTTTAAATTCCACTTCTGGTAAAATTTAAAGTAATTCTTTCTCATATACTTATTTCTATGTAATATTTTAATATCTACTTTTACTACTTGAGATATCCTTCTATGTCATTGTTTTGCCTACTTTGTAAAGTTGAGATTCAAAACATTATATTATAAAATAAGTCATATTGACTAAAACATAGTAATAAATAACAATTTTTCCTTACGTCCATAACACATTCCTTTATAACAGGTACTTATTAATTGTTATCATTTTTAGATTGATGGTCGTGCTCAGATTATGAAGAAATGGAAAGAAGGTGATGGTTCAAGCATTTTTATTACCGGAAATGATCAGTTGTCATCTTTTGCTGTTGATTCTTATTTCCGAGCCCTGTTTTGGTCATCAGCCGGTGATGGAACCATAAATGTCACAAAATTGGACAATACCTCAGTTCCAATTGTTGTTGTTAGAAGCCATGATGCAGAGAAGCCTAAACACATAGCCCTTCACCCATTAAAAGGGTAAACATTTATTTTCTTACAACTTTATTGATATTGATTTTTTTTGTTGTTTGTTGCATCATTAATTTAATTTTTATAATGATATATGAAGACTACTAAGACTGTTGCCCAGGAAACTCGATAGCTTTGGGGTAGGTGAGCAAGTATTGCAATGGCTAAGATAATATTTGATTGGACGGTCCCAGCAAGTAAGGGTTCAAAACAATCCCTCGGAGTGACTGGAATGCAGCTCGGGTGTTCCCCAAGGTTCTGTTCTTGGACCACTACTGTTTCTCGGGTATATTAATGAAATAGTCAAGGCTCTTAAATACTGCAAAATCCATATGTTTGTGGATGATATATGATATATGATATGATGATATATATATTTGGGGTTCTGTATTGCCGGAGAAAGTGGTTGAGACAATGCAGCGGGTTAATAATAAATGAACTTCAGCTCTGGACCTTCTCTAATAGACTCCACTTCAATCCCAAGAAATGCTGCTGGATACAGATAAGGAGCTCCAAACTGGTTGTAAAAGCTGAGAATGTTTCGCTGCCCTTGCTGACTATCAAGGATAACGTCATATCCCGATCTGTAAAAATAAAAGTTCTTGGAGTGATGATCAGTGGTTCGTTGTCATGGCGCGATCATGCCAGTCTTGTAGTGAGCCAGGTATATGGTGTTCTGCATTCCCTCTTTAGTTGGAAGCGATTTTTGTCAACTGAAGTCATGAAGAAATTAGTTTCCATGTTAATCCTCCCTCTGGTCTACATTGTGACTCTGTACATTGACATATCAGATTAGGAAGACCCCAGAATTCAGAGGGCTCTCAATGCCGCTATCCGATACATATATTGTACAAAAAGAGAAGACCACATCACTCCATATATAAATATGTTTGGGTGGTTACTAACTAAAGACTACCAGACAGAGACTCAATTTGATGTGCTTCGCAAAGAAAGTTCTGGACAATAGGGATCCTGAAAAACTAAGGAAAGGATTAATAGAGGTGTATAGTGAAAGATTACAGAGAGCATTCCTGTTACCAGCTTGCAGAACTAAGATTTTGGGGAACACTTTCCACACTGGATCAGTGAGAGCTCAACTAGCTTCCGGTAGAGGTAAGATCGGCTTCCTTCTTCCACAAGGCCTATCTTGATATATTTCTGACCGCAGACCAGTCGAGTGCATGTTAACGATTTATAGTTCTCAAAATTACTTTCTTCCCTCCCTCTGCTCTTTCTATTTTATATTTATCTATTTATTTAATTTTTTTGGTTTTTAGCGCTATGGCCTCACTGATTATCTCTGTTTTCATTTTTTTTTTTCTTTCTTTGTTCCTTCTTACTGTCTTGTTTTATTTATTAATTGTATACCTCCTAGCATCTATATCATATTAATTTATTAATCATATTCCATTTATATTTATATCACTAACACTTATTATTAACCTTAGTTTATAAAATATTTACTAATATTTTTTTTATTATTATTTTAATGGAATTTACAACTGTATTACATAGAAAATACAATAAGTAAATGTGAAATTGGTAACATGGCATGTTCTACATGAAGAGAAACTACCCATTGGTAGAACTCAAAATTTACTAATATTAAAATTAAATTGTAAAAATTATCATAAATAATGAACATTGTATATTGTGTTGAAAAATGTTAAATCTAAAATGTCACTTTTTTTTTGTCTGTAAGAAAGGGCCCTAGTCCCTAAGACAATAAAAGATCAATCAATAGCTCTCTCTCTTTCTCTATCTATCTACCTATTTCCCTAATATTGCTTTATTTCTTTTAGATTGTTGTTTTGGGTTGCTGAAGGGATGTCGGATAATAGAATATATCGTTGTAAATTAGATGGTGTTAGAAGAGCAGTCCTAATCTCAGGCCTCCATCCAGTAACAGCATTTACTGTTGATTCAAAAGGAGATCTTATTTATTGGGCAACTTCCTCTTCTATTGAATCAGCAGATATTGATGGCAAACAAAGGTATGACAAAAAAATAATAATAATTTTACATTTCATTTCGAAACTAAACCAATTTTATTTCCCCTCTATTTTTTACCATAGGAAAGAAATATTCACAAGTTTTAGTTTGAAAATTAATGGACTTGCAGTTTTTGGACGATTTTTATATTGGTTACATCCTCAAACAGTGGTTCAATATGATAGACAGACAAGGGCTAGAAAAAATGTATTTTATTCTCACTATCATCTTACTGCCATAGCTGCTGTGAATATACTACCACGAAGAGTAAGTTAATTCATAAGTGTTTAATTTTTTTTTTTTCAAACATACTAAATACTACTCAAATATATGCTGAACAACCTTTGAAATTTATAAAAATATCAATAAGAAGATTACCATCAAATTTAATGTTAGCGATAATAACAAGGTGTATGATTAAAAAAAGATCTGTGTGTGCGGACGTATGTTGATGTATACTATAGATATAATCTTGATCTAAAAAATACTTAATAAAAATCAAAATATTTTATGAGAGAGTAAATTATATAAGTTTTTTTATTTGGTTGAATAATTGATAAACCTTGACAAACAAGGGAAATGCTTGTGTATGTTTGTCAAACATTTTGGTGATTAAATGAAATTCTTTGTATTTCAGGAAGAAACCTTGTGGGAATGTCTATCTGGGAAGAAAGTAAATACCCACATGGACTGTAGAAGAGAAGGTGCGTGTGGACCAGACCAGTTCCCATGTGCTAGATCGCCTGGTGACTGTATACCTCTAAAATGGCGTTGCGATTCAACTGTAGACTGTCATGATGGTAGCGATGAGGCTGACTGCCCACAGTGTGATGGTGACAAGTTCACTTGCCAGCCAGGTCAATGCATTGGTAAGTTATTTAAATTAAAAATATTATTCAATGATATGTTGAAAACTGTTGTTATAAAATTTTATTTGTAATTATATTATTGATATTGATATCTGATCCGAATCCGATGATTTTATTAGATATATTATTTAGTTAGTACTAATAACCAAACATAAATAATGTGTTAGCTCACTTTCAATACGTTTTTATTATTTTATTAAGAGTAAATAAAATGATTCACAGAAACTGGTGTATAAATTAGTTATTATACCTAGTCTTGTCATAAATATTGTTTCAAAGAAATATATACAGATTTCAAAATGAAAATTATTTTTTTCAAAAACTTTATTAGAAAATAAAATTTATATCTATAGAGAGTCAAACAAAAATGTGTTACAGCATTGATATAAAGTAACGTTTCCGGTTATCCGATTTTAAGGAAAAGGTTACAGCGACATCTAAGGCATATACCTATATTAAATACGTAATATCAGTTTTGTACGTATTTTCGAGCTAGAGTGTTCACATACACACAGACCATTTTTCGGGACTTGGTTATTTGGACTCAGGGTACCCCAAAATGTGTACTTCTATTGATAACTCAGATTCAAAAATTTTCTCGATCACAATACTTATTACCCTTACTATAAATTACATATATAGTTAGTGAAAGTAATAATAAACCAAAAATATTTTAAAATCACGATATCTCTACAAATAGTGCTTTGATTTCGATGAAACTTCTTTCATTTTTTAGGAAATTTAAATACCTTTAAAACATCTTATCACAATATCCACTAAAAAAGTGTACACTCTTTGAATTATTCGGAATTTAGTTTTAGCATCCCTCATAACTTTTTTTCCAGCTTCTTTTCGTTGAAGTATGTAAAATGACTTTAGCGAAGTTTCATTGAAATTGGTACATTCGTAAGGCGCTACAGTCTATAGCAACGCAGGTTTTTCTGCATTTTTTTTTTTTTTTCTCCTTTATTAACTTATCAAATTCTTTCAAAAGTTATATTTAGCATTTTTTTAGTAATTCTGAATAATGTGAAATGATTAACTTTTTAAAATAAACCATATTAAATGTACTTTAGAAGAAGATGTACGAACATTGGGCATTTAAGCCCTGTAAAGTGACATCAATGAGGATAAGACCTAATTGATATTAAAGACCACTTCATTATACAATGATACACCGAGTTTAATCAAAATCGTTAGAGCTGTTTTTGAGAAAATTATAAAAATGTGTTTCAGCGTTGCTATAAAGTGGCACTTCTGGTTAGCCAATTTTGAGGAAAATGTTGCTGTCATATCTAAGGCATATATCTATCTTAAATACGTAATATCAGTTTCATACGACTTATCGTTTTTGAGCTAGACTGCTAACATACACACACACGGACACACAGACCATTTTTCGGTACTAGGTCATTTCAACTCAGGGTACCTCAAAAAGTCTATTTCCATTGGAAACTCAGATACAAACATTTTCTCGATCGCAATACTTACCCTTACTATATATTACATATAAGTGAAAATAAATAAGGAATTACTCAAAACATCCCCCTTATACCTTGACACAGACATTTAATTTCTGTGGCCAGTCATCAATAGCAGCACGTAGCACTTCTTGAGGAAAGTGCTCAACTGCTCGGACCAGAGATTATTTGTGGCCTTCCAAGTTAGGGCGTGCTCTGTGGCATGCCATCCTCTCCAGTTCGGGCCAAAATCAATAATCTAGTGAGTTGAGATCAGGACTTCCTGAGGGCCAATCCGAGGCAGAGATGAACTCTTGTGAGCTGGAGCAGAATCCTGCTGGAAAACACAATGACTTCCAGCAGAGTATCATTTAGAGGCTGACAAAAGGTTCCAAAATATCATTCTGATAGTTTTTAGAGGTTGTTTTAACTCCTTTTTCACAAAAAAAAAGCTTTTTTGGTGCCATCAAAGCAAACTACCCATCAAACCATCATTGAGGAAGGGTGATGACCTCTTTCCACTCTCCCAATGACTTCCTGGCCATCTTTAGAGCTGTGTGCCATACGCAGTCATTTTGGCGATTAAATTTTTCTTCAATTGTAAAAATTTTCTCATCTCTAAACAAATCTTTCGATGAAGACCATTGGTGTAATGGCCAAGGAGCACTTTGCATCTATCAACTCTAATTATTTTTTAGGGAAGTAGTTAGCCTTTGTCCTGTCATTCTTCGAATTGCACCCATTCTGAGGTCATTTTTTTTTATGTGAGACTTTGATCTGAAAGAGATTCCCATTTCCGAAACATGATTTGTTGTTTTCGAACAGAATTTCTTCTTCTGGTTTGAGCAGCCATTGCTCTTCTCACTGCATTTGCCGTTCTCACAGTGTGGAGACAGCCCATTCGAGGTCTCATATACAGATAGGGTCTCATTATATCTATTTATAGTACGGTATACGGACATACGACTGACACTCAAAGGTTTCAAAGTGTTGAAAATCTCTGACATACATTTTCCAACTTTGTGTAAGGCGATCACAGCTATTCGTTTTTCTTTATCACTCCACTCCGTGTTAACTGAGCGAAAGAAAAATACAAACTAATTGCGATTATTGTCCTGACATGTAAAGAAAATAACCTGATTGAGGTAAGGTTTATCTAAATAAAATCCAAGGATGTTAACAAAGTTCAACTTTTGTAATAGTATTTATATCAGAACTAGAGGTACATTTATTTTCCAATAATTTCATTCATACCTTAATCATTTTTTTTGTGAATTGTTTACAATTTCTTTATTGTTATACAATTCCAACCATTGAATTTCACGTAGTGACTTTTTATTTTCAAGTTTGTAATACAATTTTAATTATCCTGCAGACATATTAGGTTTATAAAAATATTCCTTTCTTTTTATTTTAGAGATGCGATTCGTTTGTGATGGAATAGCTCAGTGCTCAGACAATTCTGATGAGAGATCCTGCTGTAGCAATGGAGGTGGCCATGCTTGTGGTGGAAAATGCTTTCCTGCTTCTGTTGTTTGTAATGGTTGGTCTGATTGCCTGGATGGGAGTGATGAGGCTGGCTGCCACATGCAATCACCTCCATCTTCTCCACCTTATTTTCTTCTGATAGCTCTCCTTATAACTTCATTTTGTATCGTAATCCTATATTCCATCTGTAGGTGGAAAATGAGGTAACTAAATTTTATATATATATATTCACACAGGTTTGTTTTTGAAAAATTGGAGAATGGAAGAGCAAAAAAAAATTATTTTTTATTATTTTTTAGTTAAGTAAAAGGATTTATTCCTCATAAATACCAATAAATGTACTTATGCTGAATTAGAAATATTATTATTTTAAAAGTTGTAGTTTATTTTTTAATTTTCTTAGTGTTATATGCGGTGAGGGGCTTGTCCTGATTTTCAATAGGTGTTTATTTTCCAGAAACCCATGAATGCATAAAAGACATTTTCAGGCATTGCTCTCTGTCATTTTTGCATGGTTTTCTCTTAAACGGATCTCTTTTTCCCCCTCCCATGTACCAAATTGAGAATTAAAGTCTTATCCTCTAAGCCACTTAACTTTTGATTTGAAATACATTCCTTAGAAAACACAGGAAATTAATTTTAATGTCTAATTTACTCTTCCATAAATAACTTGTAATAACATTAAATAAAAAAATCATCTAAATCAAACCAGTATTATCAAAAATACAGGATATTGGATTTTGTGCCCATTTTTTAATAAATATTTTGCACTTGTTCCCCTGGAAACATGTTCACTTCTTTTTCAAATCTTCCGGAAAATATACTAGAGGATTTGAGATGCATTTGATATAATTATTTGAAAGATTATAGATCGTCTATAAAAGATAAATTTGTATAAAAATAAATCTTACATCACACCAATGTTAGTGAAGATACAGCAAACATTTTTTTTTTATTGGGCTTTACACCAAAAGCTGTTGTGTGAGTAAATATAACAAATTTTACTCTTAAATATAACAGGTTTTACATTAATAAAACCTGAAGATATTTTTAGATTAATGCCCTAGTAATTGATATGTTTCATATCCCATTCCTATGGGATCTCTTCTTAAGCAGAGGGCTATCTCACAAAAGATGCAAAAGGTTCTTGGGTTGGAAACCTTTCCTGTTCTTCAGTCTAATAATAATTTTAAATACTAAGATAAAAAACCTAGAATAAATGTATCAGTTTAAATTTATATCATTTTTCAGTGGTAAGCCTGGCGCAGTTGATGGTGTGATATGTGATCCAGCTTTAGACCCCCTCTCACCGAAGCAGTACAGACCTAAACATTCCATGAGGATGTCCACTTTACAACGGTCCTCATCGAGCCAGCCATCAACAGGTTCCCTCCTCTACCCATACCCACAGAACCCCCCACCATCACCAGCTACTACCAGCAAAGAATGCTCTCTGTATAGACCACCTCCTCCGACACCGTGTTCTACTGACGTTTGCCATGAGAGTGATTCTAACTACCAGGGTGACAGTGAACCACTTCCTCCTCCACCTACTCCTACTTCCCTTTCACCGTCTTCTTCTACATATTTTCCTCCACCTCCTTCTCCAACACCCTAAATGAACTGCCTATTTTATTTTGTTCGACTAATGTATATATCTTACCTCATGTTTCATACAGTATATTGTATATATTTTTATTTACTTAAAATCTTATTTCCTTGACTAGATAAATGTTATCTAGTTTTATAAGTGCCAAATGTATAAATAAGTAATATTGGCACAAGAAATTAAAATTTAACATAACAGGGCTTTCTTCCATAAGTGCCTCTTGGTGATACCTCCCTGCAAATGTATATACAAATATTTTATAAGAAATAAGATATTTTTTTGGCACTCACTCTCATTTTGATGCATCAAATATAGAAAATCCCTCCTGTTATAATATCTTTTTAGTACAAAACAGTACAAGGTATCTTGATTATTTATATTTGCTCATTTATTTATTGTTCCTTCTTGTGAATATGTTTTAATTTCGATTAAAACATCTCAAAAACTATTTGAGGGGAAGTATAATTTTTATTTTATATTCTTATTATAGTGTTATTAAATAACCTTTCAAGCAAGAAGGAGACTAAGAGGAAGATTCTTAATTCTCGTCTTAGTTTTGTAGCTTACGTATATTTAATTTGGTATTGTGTTCCTAGGGATCATACTGCTTTAAAAAGAAGAAATGTTATACCATGTATTTATTTTTTGCATCTTAGTACAAGTATTATCTTGCCATGCATTATTGTAATATCTTAAGTTGTATCATAGTTGTTTATATGTGCAATATTTATTATATGGTTTTAACAGATATATTTGTTAATGACTTGAATATTTAGTATCAAGTTTTGTTTGTAAATAATATTTTAAGATTTTGTTGTTCAATTTATTGTATAAAGGTAAATGATTTGTTTACACCCACTGCTCTAATTAGCTCTTATACTTATGTATATAAATTTATTTAATGCATTTATTTCATAGGTATCATGTAGTATAAGCGGCTCAGTATAATGAGTCATTTATACTGCATAATGGCAAGACTGGACTAAATAATTAGTTCCTAATTCTTTAAGAACACATTGTGTTTATTTGAAATGTTTATTCAGACGAAGTTGAGCAGTGGTAAAATCCTTAGTTATTTAAATGTTTTTTGACTTGTTAGACGAGCAAATGTTTTTGTAATAGTTAAAGCTGGTATAGCTGCCTTTGTTTCTCTTTTTTATTTAATATTCTCATCTCTCATATACAATGGTACCTTTAAATTTTAATTGAGATGCTTTAATAGTAATATAAGCTTTTTATTGTGCCTTTGTATTAATAAATTGTAACTAATTCTTGTAAAAATACTAGCTTGTGTCTTCCAAGAAAAGTGTGATCACTATCCTGATTAAGTTATCAAAACAAAATTATATGTGTTTATAGATTTATGTACTTATTGTAATATTAATTTTAAAAAAAATAGATTTGTAACAAAATGTAGTTTTTTTTTATAATTTTATATTCACATAGGTGCCTTGAATTATTGTACTTTGTTTGCAATTAAAAATATTTTAAATTATCATTTTTTAATTAAATTAAGGCTGTTTTATTAAATTTATGTTATTTTCCTACTCCACTCATAAACAATTAGTGAATTTTAATTATTGATGTGTTTCTCATGCTTTAACTCACTCAGAATTAAAAAATCTATATCTTTTTACTTATAACTGCAGCTTCTCTAATACCAAGAAAGGTGTGGACATTCATGAAAAAATATATCCCTAGTTTATTGTAAAATGTAACTATGTACTGTTTTGACCTTATTTTTCATCAATGAAAAAACATATGATGTGATCTAAAATGACACAAACCCTTTTATAAATCAAATATATATGACAGTTTCCTGATTTCATAAGGGGAACATTTATCAAACTCCTTTTTAATTTAAGATTATATAATATCACAAATCACTTTTTGCCATAAACCAACGATATATAGTCAGAGAGTGTGTGTGTGAACCCCAACTCAAAAACATAAGTCGTATGAAACTGAAATTGCATATTGAAGGTATGTATATACCTGGGGCGTTACAGCAACTTTTTAAACAAAATGAACTAACCAGAAGTGACACTGTATATCATTAGATATCTACAATTTTTCAAAGATTGATTTATGTGACTTTGAAAGGGTGCCAAGTTTGAAATTCCTACATGAACCTAACGCTTATTTTATCAAATTTAAGGCACAAGCGTCAATAATTGATACCTTTACCCTACATGCATATAGGCACAGACTTAGGGAGGGCAAGAGGTGCGATCGCTCCCTCAATTAAAATTTTGAGGGTGCGAGAATATCGTCTCGCCCTCTCCTCCCCCAATAATTTTAGGTAAAAAAATTAAAATCAGTAATTAATAAGCTATATGAATGAATAAAATGTGGAAACTAAGGTAAATTAAGAAAAGTTGACTAGCTGGCTAGGCCAAATACTTACTAGTAGGTATGTAACTATTTTATTGATACCTAAGTGTTACTTTTATTTAAATTGTCATTTATATTCAAAAATAATAATCTATATAAACATATTCTTGGATTTAATGATTTAATAACCCTTAATTTTCACATACTTTCCGGGAAAAAGTAATCAGACTGTGAAAACCGTTGTATTTTTATTTTAAATTGTACATACTAAGAAATCAAAGATTTTTTTCTCACATTTGGGCAACACTAGTTGGGGTTTTCAGTCACAAGTAACAGAGTAAAAATAAATAAATTATATTATTAAATTCACATTAAATAGTTGATATTTATAAAATAATTTATATATATTAAATTTAAAAGTTTTTTTTTTCAAAGGAGAATATTAAGAAGAAAAATAAAAATAGTTTCATGGTTGCTGACTTAGAATTGAGTTTCTGGTTTTCCAATTTAAAAGTGAAAATAGTGAATAGTTAAAATAAATTTAATAGTGAAAGTTAATTTTCACTCAGTTTTTGTTTAATGTTTTAATAATTATATAAATTTGTCAATGAGTTATTTTTTTTTTTTTTACTTTGTTGACTTAGAGCACTGTGATCCTTGAAGGATGATGAGAGAGTTAGATGAATAAAATGGAAATCGAAAAATGCCGAAGTTTATTAGAATATATTTGAAAAGAAATTAAATAGAAAAAAAAATATTGTTTTTTTTATTTTATTATTTATTTTCGCTAGATATTAGTGATTCATATGCTTCATTCAGCTTGCTCAACTTCAATTCTATCTCCCAAACCATTCCAGTTAATATTTTGTTGCAATAATTACTTTTTAAATTGAAATAACGAGAGAGTATTCAAATATTAGTTTCCCGCCGATCCAATATGGCCGCCACATCGGTATGACCTTACTGTATTATTAAGCCACTGTAGTTTATGGTTCGAAATATTCGATAGCCTTTTCTTCTGAAGACGACAATTCTCACAATGTAATAACATTTATTTCAACAAAAATACTCAATGGAATAACTCACAGCTTACACTAGATAAGAAGGGAGGTTTTGTCCCGACTGGATTCTTAACAAGTATTGTTGATCCCAACACCTCAAATCACCAAAATTGTTTCCATTTCTGCAGCTAACAATTTTTTTTGTCCCTGTTATTTATTATTATTTATGAGGTGTACACTTGTTTGTGTGCACAAGCCCACACTTTTCTTTTTCTCCATTCTTCCAACTGAAGCCGGTCCTCGGAACGTTGCAGTTGGGGCGTAGCGAATCAATATTCTTCCCGTGTTTAACGAGCTTCGCTCGGAAGCTCCTATGTCACGTGAGGAGTTGAGACACCCAGTAATCCTGGAGGACCCATCTTGTATCTAATCGTGACTTGACCGTGGGGAAGTACTTTCTTAGGGTAGCTCCCTTCGGAGTTGCCATCCATCCTCGGTTCCATTTATCAACTGTATGCTCCCTGATAATTCTTTTCCATCTTCCTGGGTCTTTTTCAATTCTCATCTTTAGATGTTCCGGTAGATCCGCCGAACCTTCTCCTTTCATTTTAAAGAGGTAATAATCTTCTCGCAGGAGGAGATAGAGAGGTGTCTCCCCTGCCAGTACTTGCACTGCCTCAAGAGATATCGTTCTATAGGCTCTAGTAAACCGAAGTAACGCCAATCTCTGAATCGATGGTAGCCTTCTATTCTGTCTGTGCGAGAGGTTTAGGTTCCAGGCTGGGGACGCATATCTCAGAATACCCAAAACTACTCCTTTGTATATAGTCATTGTATCTGATACTCCAGAAGGCACCTCCGACACGACTGATTCCATTTAGGGCCACTGTGACTCTAGTTCTCAAATAGTCCAGGTGAGGAGTCACGTTGAATTTTCGACCAATTTTTATGCCAAGGTAGGTGACAACCTCACTTGGACATAGCCTTTCTTTTTCTATACTCAACATAATATGATGTGCCTTGTCAGTCGTGCCCCTCAAGAGAATTGCCTGGGTCTTTGTTGCAGCGTTCATCTTTAACTTCTTCTCGCACCATCTTCCTACCAAACTGGCACATCGTTCAGCTTCTGCTTTCAGAACGGCTATGCTGTTTGAGACCACCACGGCGGCCAAATCGTCACCATAGGCCGTGGCAGAGAAATTAGGTAACTATTTATCATTGTTAGAATATATGGAAAAATACTAAATATAACTTTTGGAAGAATTTTATAATTAAATTGGGGAGAAAAAAAAAATACTTATCAAGGTTAAAAATGAATATCCGGAAATAATAGTCAGAAGGTGTACGTATAATATATCATTGGAAAGCGGAGAATTAAAAAAAAAATATATATAATATAGAAATTTGTAGGTTACGGAAAAAGACGAAAAAAATATAAATAATAATTTCTGAAAACTAACATTATTTAACGTAAATCACGTGTTTCAAGGAAATTAAATGAAATTTTCTTACTAAATGTAAACTTTTTAGAAAATTAAATTAGTGAATAATTTGATGAATTTTCCCTTTGCGATATCCCCACAGTATCCAGTTTTAATTATTGTGACAAGTTTTGACCTGTCTATGACAGAAAACGCAAATTTCTTAATTCCGTTCTAGTAAACTTTGCATTGTAAAATAACAGTTTAATAACTAATAGTCGTGCAATCCATGATCAGCGGATCGTACAATCCATAATCAACCGGTGATATAATAAATAGGACTTATGTTATTTTAATGGTATTTTAGATTTCTTAGCTGTAATCTTTTAGCTTTAGCTCGGTTAAAAATGCAATTAAAAAAATTGTATGATAGCCCAACATAGCCAGAAAATAATTTCTATTCAAAGTTGAGCAGTAATTGAAAAATGTGTGTTGTGCCCACCAGATTTTTTAGTTAAGTCTCATTTAAACTGGTTCTATGTTAATTGAAGTTTAAATTTTTGTCTCTAATCCGTAGCGCTCCGTTTTTTGACAGAAAACTTGTTGTGTGTTCACTGGATTGAGGCCACCATACATCATCAACTGCCGTTATATTAACAAAAAATTCTTTCAAGAATAACTAAAAACTAAAAATCTTATATATTAATCTAAAAGATCCCTTATCACTCCTATAACAATCCAATTTAGTTTACCGCACCCCATGTTCCACCTATAATTATAATTTCTGTTATATTATTAATTTGCGCAACAATCCCTTTAACGAACCTGGGCCTCAGAAACAAGCTTCTACCAGGCTTTCCTATAGTCTGCTAATCTTCTCCATCTTCTTATACTCATACTGCTGAGGTATTCCTCTACGTCGTCGATCCACCGCAGTATGGGTCTTCTCCTAAGACGTGCTCCTCCTGGGCGGTTATGGAGAAGTTTCCTAGCGACCTATCCTCCCACATTATTTCTACATGGCTTAGCCATCTGAGGCAGCAACTTTTGACAGTGGCTACAATGTCGTCAGTATTATATAGCTCATAGAACTCGTCATTTTTATATTTTTATATTATAGAGACCAATGAATTACCTTAAAAGTGCACGTATCAACATAAGTATAGCATTTCCACTCGTAACCCATTCTCTCCAGTATTATCAGAACATGCCATACAACTTACCCAAGGTCAATAAAACTACCTTATTTTATTGTAGTTTTATATTATATTTTATATTATTATTGTAGTTTTGGTAGTTTTACTGACCTTGCAACTTACCATTCTTCAAGCCTTCTGTTCCTGCTAGCTAACCTAACCAAGAATAATATCTTCTCACCAAAATCCTCATTTATCCACCTGGAAAGAAAACAACTCCGCAAACAATTAAGTAGATAAAGTGATACTTTCATTAACCTATTCCAACATCATCCGCCTTCTAAAAGTTTAATTCAGATTTTAAGCCTCTTGAGTGTATTTATTTTAGATCTATAGATTAATCTATAGAAATCATCCGTTGTATATAAGGTTATACATAAGGTTATAGGTTAATCTAAGATTATTATGTATTGGAAGGGTTCACGTATTATAAACCTATTAAACTTCTCTTTGTTTACTGCTATTCCTATAAAGTTTTAAATTTTATGTTTAGTAATTTATTTAAATTCATAGTTTCTAGTTTCGCCTCATTATTTTTATCTAGCATTGACTTAATTTCATTACTATGTATTGTTCTTTACTTGTGTATTTTTAAAAATTTATCTTACTTATTTATTTATTTTAATATTTATATTTAGTTTAGAAATCTTTATTTTAATATTTTTTAATCAGTTAAATAGCCGTTAGATGATCGTTACCACACCCCCTCCCTTCCAATCTCCCACCAAATATCCATATCTCAGTTCCTGTAGTTGG